TAAAAGATGGTAAATTTCTAAATACACTCAATTCAATCAAAATCCAATATTTAAATAATGATGATAGTGATTACAAATTATTGTATAGTATTTTTTGTTTTTTTTTTAATGAATATGACAATCAATAATAATATGTGTCATACTGATCATCGCCTTCATTGATTTTTAAATCATTTTCATAATTGCAATAAAGGATGAAAAAAAAAAATAAAAAAAAAATAAATAAAATAAAGATACATTAATTTCACAATCATCATTATTCAAAAACTTTAATATAATCATAATCATTGTCAAAAATATGAACTTAATATTAACATCAAAATTTTTTTTTTTTTTTTCTTTAAAAAAATGAATCAAATTATTGTTATTATATAGTCATTAGCTCAAGTTCCATATTTAAATTGTATTAGAAATACTTTAACTGCTTCAATGTGTCTCCAAAACTTTGGTTCACAAATTGTTGAAAGACACAACAAACCAGAAGTTGAAGTCAAGTAAGTAGCTAAAATTTAATTTTTATTATTCAAATGTTATATATTTATACTAATATTATTATTTTCAATTAAATCAATTATATCAAATTATATTAATTGTTGTTATTAAATTAATCAATTTTTATCATCTTCACTTATCATCATTATTACTATTCAAATTAATTTCTAAATCAACAGAACAAGCAAAGAATTAGTTTTAAATCCAGTTATTATTGCTCGTAATAAAGCTGAAAGAGTTTTAATTGAAACCTCAATTAATTCTATTCGTATCAGTGTTTCAATCAAAAAATCTGATGAAGTTGATGTTATTCTTGCTAAAAAATTCGTTCGTTTCCTTGTTCAAAGAGCTGAAAGTTTCATCATCTTAAGAAGAAAACCAGTCGAAGTAAATATTAATAATTTATGGTAGTAATAGCATGCATGGCACCGTTATTTTAACCCCACGCTAACATTACCACATTACCACACACAACATTAAAACAAATTATATTAATTTTTTTTTTATAATAATAGGGTTACGATATTAGTTTCTTAGTTACCAACTTCCACACCGAAAGTATGTTCAAACATAAACTCGTTGATTTCATTATTCAATTTATGGAAGATATCGATAAGGAAGTCAGTGACTTAAAATTAACTCTTAATGCCAGAGGTCGTATCATTGCTTCTGAATACTTAAAGAACTTTGCTTAAATCAACTATACTTTATAACCGTGTTATCAATAATAAATAATAAACCAAAACCAAAAGAAATAAAACAAAAACTAAAAAAAAACTAAAAAAAAAAAAAAATATATTTATTTTTAAAAAAAACAAAACAAAAAGCAATATAAATAATTTATAATATATAATTTATAATATATAATATATAATATAAACACAAAATATAAATAAATGTAATTTAATACATAAAAAAAATCAAAGGTGTCAAAACCAAATTTTATTTTTTCATTTTTCTATTTTTTTTATTTCATAAAAAATAATTATTATTATGAAAATTTTTAAGATTAAAATAATAGTTTATTAATAGCATTTTTAAGATTTTGTTTTAAAATTAAAATTAAAATTTATTAAGAGTTTGAAAAAATTACTGTGGTTATTGATTTATAATTACGCAAATCTATTTTTAATTTCATTTCTTTATTTCTGAATCTTAATTTTCTGACAGTTGATGGTATAATACCGATACCTATGTTGTTCTTAAAAGAAAAACCAAACTCTAGCTCGACTACTCCTTCAGGGATGATACCTTCTCTTAAAAATTTCTGGTTAAAATTAAAGCCAAATTCTAATACTCTAACACTTTTGGGTATACAGTTTTCTTTGATAGTTTGATTGAAATTGCAACCAAAGATGAGGGTTTTTAAAAGTGGAGGAAGATGACCCGGTGAAATAGATTGATTAAAGCTATCACCGAAAATAAGGGTTTCGACACTGACAGGTATGACACCATCTGAGAGAAGTTGGTTAAATTTATTTGAAAATGCAAGGGTCTTTAAAGATGGGGGTAGGGTGTTGGGCTGGATGGGATGGTTAAAATGAAAGCCTAGGTCCAAATCGGTGATACTATGTGGCAGTAGGTTTAAAGAAATGGGTCGGTTAAATTGGTCAAAAGTTAATGTTTCTATATATTGTGGGAGTTGAAAATCCTTAATTGGTTTATTGGAGTCTATGTGTAGTGTAGTTATATAGTCTTTTAATATTTTTTTATTTCCGTAAATATCCTTTAAAGAGTCTACTTTTAGCACTCCATTTTTTTTAAATTTTAATAATTGCATTGAGATTTCCTCTCTAATATCTCTATTTCTCCAAATAGAAGAAAATAGAATTGTTTGTTTTTCATTGTATTCATTATCTAATTCGTTTTTATTGGTTATTTTATTATTATTATTATTTTCGACTTTTATTTTTTCCTTTTTTATTTTTATTTCATAAATACAGTTACTATTATTATCCCTATTCCTTTTATATGGATTGCTTTTATTATTAATATTGATATCTATTATTGGGTTTGTTTTATTGTTCATATTGTTGTCGATTTAGTTTTTGTTGAAATCCATATAATGTACTACATAAAAAGTAAATTTTTTAAAAAAAAAAAATGCTGTAAATGGGGTAAAAAAATAATAAAAAAAAAACAAATAAAAAATCAAATAAAAAACAAATAAAAACAAAGAATTTTTGTGGTAATAATAAACAAATAAGTTGTGTATCGAAAGGATTAAGTTTTGTATTAAAAAAATATTGAAAAAAAAAAAAAAATAATATTTTTTTATTATTTTTTTTTTTTAAAAATTTTTTTTTTTATTTATTATATTGTTTTTATTATTTATATATAAAAGTTTAAATTTTGTAATTAAACAACTTGAAAAATAAAGAGAAACAAAATTAATAACTAGTAATAAAAAAAAAAATAATAATTATATTTAAAAAACAATAAACATATGTTAAAATAACAATACAAAAATTTCGTAAAAAGAGGGGTACGTTGCACCAAAATTCAGCAACTATTATAATAATTATCATTCTTTGGTAACTATTTTTTTTGAAATGCCAACAAAAGCAAAAAAAAAAAAAAAAAAAAAAAAAAAAAAAAAGGGTTTTCGAAGAAAATAGACATTATCAGATGCAATAATATTATATTTTTTTTATTTTTAAATAAATAGCAATAAATATCGACTTATATCAATGGTTTGTTTCTGGATGCTCCGAGTATAAGAAAAAATTGAAAGAACTTTTAAAATTGAATTCTAGGGTGTGTTTTTCTAAATTTTATTTTATTTTTTAGGTTTCGAAGAAAAGAATATGAATAAAAATATTTATGGCTTAAGGTTTTCTGTATAATCTAAATTATTGTTTTGAAAAAAAATTCCTAGATTGATATATCTGTGGAGGACTCTTATTTTCATCTTTCATTTTTATTTTTTGTTTATTTCTGTATTCATGTAAAGATGTTCTAATTTTTTTTAAATTATCTTGCAAAATCTTGGTCCCCAGTATAATAAACCTCTGATATATAGTCTCTGTACGGATGGTTTTTTAATTCTTCTAGCTTTAACTATAGTCCAGTTATGTTATATAATTTTAATTTTTCATTGTTAATACTTCCAAGATATTTGTTTCTAAAAACTAAAAAAAACAATTATAATTTATAGTTATTATAAATGATTAAATAAAAAAGTAAAAACAAATTTATAAACTAATTTGGTATGTATGTAAAAAACAAATTAAAAAAATTAAAAAAATTAAAAAATAATTTTTGTTTTTTTTTTTTTTTAAAAAAAAATTTTAGATATAGAGATGTGTTTTTTTTTTATTTTAATAATAAACATATATACTTAAATAAAAAGAATTATAAAAACCAAAAAAAAATTTAAAATAAAATAAAATTTTTTTTTATTTTTATTTTAAAATAATTACAATAAATAAAAAAAAAAAAAATTTATTTTAATAAAAAAAAAATAAAATTCTAATTTTTTTCCTATCAAATAAATAAAAGAGATTCGATTGAGGAAATAATATTTATGTATGAGTATCAACAACTTATAAAACTAAATGGTTTAACAGCTTTAATAATCTAATATTTACAAACCACTCAAAATCGGCACTTTTCCCCTATCAATTGTATTTTGGAAATAGATAAAACTAAAATTTGTTGAAAGACTCATTACTACCAAATCAAACCTTATAATAAATATGGGTTGAAATTTTATCGACACTTAATATCGAAAATAGATTTTAATGATTGTTTCCACCCAATCAATAAAGATGTTATACTGAAATCATGCCTTTTTCTTAAAATAGGTATTGGATTTAACTGCTGCCCTCGATTTAAAATTTGTATTTGGGAAATTACCAAAAATAATAAGAATTATATTTTGGTTTTTATTTTAATCCATTAAAAATAATTAATTATTTTTTTAGAAATATATTTTTAATTTCCAATTTAATTTTTTTTTTTAAAATGATTTATTATTTTGATCATAAAATATATAAATATCGATATTTTTTTTTTTTTATTTTTTTTTTTTGATTAAAAAAACACTAAGTTCATTTAAAAAAAAATATATAAAAATTCTTAAAAATTATAATTTTTTTTTTAAAATAAAAATAAAAATAAAAATAAAAATTGAAATAAAAAGGTGGTGCGGTATATGTGTGTGTTGTGTATTTATTTGTGTGAATTTTTTGCATAAAAATTCCAAATGGGGGAAACTGTTGAAAGTTCAACAACATGTTTTTTTTTTTTTTTAATTTTTTTTAATTTTTTTTATTATAATAAATTTTTTTTTTTTTTTTTTAAAAATTTTAAAAATTAAATTTTTTTTTTTTTTTTTTTTTTTTTTTTTTTCAATTTTTTTTTTATTAAATTATATTTATAAAATTATATAAATAAATTTATTAAAAAAATAATATTTATATAACTGTTAAATTTTTTTATTTATATAAAAAAAAAGTTACCCCTTAAAAAATCACTATATTTTTTTTATACATACTATTTTTATTTTTAAAATATCTCTTTTTATAAAAGAACAACAAACAATATAATTATAAAATGGCTGAAACAAATCCAGAAGTTGATATCAGTGAATTAGCTGAATACGAAGAAAGTGATGAAGAAGTTCAAAACGATGCCGGTGATGCCAAAAAAAATATTTCAGCAAAGTAGGTTTCATAAAATACTAGTTTAGTTAGACTCTCCATTCATTCTTTATATAATAATACAAAATTGAATAATAGTATCAAATTTTATATTCAACAAAAAAATAATATTATTATACAATAAACTCAATAAAAATAATTATAATAATTATAATAATAATAATAATATAATAATAATAATAATTATAATATTCAAAGTAAAGAATACAATTCCTTTGCAAATCTTTGTAAATAAGATGGTTATCTTTACTTCCGATGTTCAAATTCAAAAAAAGTTGGCATTTTTTTTAATTTTAAATTAAAAAAACGGTTGGGAAATCAATTTATTCAAAAAAAGCAATTTAATTTATAAACTATTCTTAATTCATTATCTCTAAGAGAAAAGAAACAAGATAGTTAATGAAGTTATTGTTTAGGTCGGTTTGGATCTTGGCGGGGTTTTAAAATAAAAAATAGATTTCTATTTTTTTTTTTTTTTTCAGACAAGTTACTACAATTTAATTAAACAAAATTTCAAATAATAACAATCATAATCACAATCATAATCACAATCATAATAAAACCAGTATAAATAATAATTATTATAGATATATAAATAACCAATAAAGACAATTAAAAATACTTTATAATTAAATTATAACAGTCATATATTAAAACACAAAACACAGCACTTTATGGGTTAGTCATAATCATAATTAATATTAATAATTATATAAATCAAGAATGGAATAATATATTCAATAGTTGTTTAATACTAGATATAAATCAACAAAATAATAACATTCAATATTTTTCTTTTTTAAAAACATTTTAGAGATACCCACGTTGCTATGCACAGTAGTGGTTTCCGTGAATTCCTCTTAAAACCAGAATTAGAAAGAGTTATTGGTGATTGTGGTTTTGAACATCCATCAGAAGTACAAAATGAATGTATCCCACAAGCTATTTTAGGTTCCGATTTAATTTGCCAAGCTAAATCTGGTATGGGTAAAACTGCTGTCTTTGTCATTTCAACTTTACAACAACTCGATAATAACCCATCCGGTGTCACCACTTTAGTTTTATGTCACACTAGAGAACTTGCCTATCAAGTAAGATTAATTTAATTGCCATTGTTTAACTAACAATGCTCAGAGTTATAGTGGCCAATACTAATTCCTTTTTTCATTAACCATTAGATTTGTGATGAATACGACCGTTTCACTAAATATTTACCAAACATCAAAACCGCTGTTATCTATGGTGGTATCCCAGTCCAAACTCATAAAGATTTACTCAAAGAAAAGAAACCAAATATTGTCATTGGTACTCCAGGTCGTATTTTACAACTAGCCAAAGAAGGTGCTCTCTCACTTAAAGAAATTAAACAATTTGTCCTCGATGAATGCGACAGTTTACTCGAATCATTAGACATGAGAAAAGATGTACAAATGATCTTCAAACTCATCCCACCAAACAAACAAGTTATGATGTTCTCTGCTACTCTCTCTGATACAGTTCGTCCAGTTTGCAAGAAATTCATGAGCAATCCACTCGAAATTTACATTAACGATGGTTCCAAATTAACTCTCCACGGTCTCCAACAATACTACGTCGAAATTAAAGAAGACCAAAAGAACAAGAAACTCATTGATCTTTTAGATGCTCTTGACTTTAATCAAGCCGTTATCTTTGTTAAATCAGTTCCACGTGCTGCTGCCCTCAACAAAATCCTTCAAGACATTGGTTTCCCATCCATTTGTATTCATAGAGATCTCTCACAACCAGAACGTATCGAACAATACCGTAAATTTAAAAACTTTGAATCACGTATTATGGTAGCCACCAACATTTTTGGTCGTGGTATCGATATTGAACGTGTTAATGTCGTTATTAACTACGATATGGCTGAATCAGCTGATACTTATCTTCACAGAGTCGGTCGTGCTGGTCGTTTCGGTACTAAAGGTTTAGCAATTTCATTTGTTCCATCCAAAGATGATGAAGTTCTCACTCAAGTTCAATCAAGATTTGTTGTTCAAATTAAAGATTTACCAGCCACAATCGAAAGCTCATCATATATGAGTGGCTAGGTATTGAACGTAAAAAAACGCTCAAAACAAATCTTTACTCGTATATAAAAAAAAAAATAAAAAATAAAAAAATAAAAAATAAAAAAACAATAAAAAATAAAATGTAACTTTTTTTCACCCCTCTCCCAACAATATAAATTAAACTTTATTTATTTAATTTTTTTTAATTACAAACATTTCCAAAAATGACCTCGAGTTTGGTATCAGACTCTTTTGGTGATAGCCAAACAAGACCCATGGAACCACAAACCAATTCAAAAACATCACCCACAAAAAAAAATACTGGGGTTGTTAATTTCAAAAATTTGGCTTTATTTTGAATTTAAAAAATTTAATTTTGGCTTTATTTTTATTTAAATAATATTTTATATTTGGTTTATAAATCTCTAATAATAAAATTATAAATTCCTTTTTAATCAACATTGAGTTTTGTTTATTTTTTTTAAATTTTTTATTTTTTTTCATTTGGTTTTTTTTATTGTAAACAATTCAAAAAAAGCATATATATAGCTTAAACATTAAAATTTATTATAAAAAAAAAAATTATTAAAAAAAAAAAAAATTAAAAATAAAAAATTTTTAAAAAAACGAAAAAAAAAAAAAAAAGGTAAATTTTTTACAGTCAGTTTTTTTTTTTTAGTTGCTGTTTTGTGGTCAACATAGTTTTATTATATACACCCCCAATATAATTTATAGGTAGTTTGTTTTTAATAGATAATAAATTAATTTAAAATATTGTAATAGCTACCACCTATATATAAATAAAATTATAAAAAATGGTTAATTTAAATCCACAAACAATTTCCGATATCGAAGAATGTTTAAAATGTTTACTTCAACCAAATAATGAAATTATTAAAATGGCAACTGATAAACTTAATGGTATATTAAAAAAGAGTGAAAATTCTTTATATTTATACCATTTGTTACAAAATTCACCATTTAATGAAGTAAGTGTGGAAAAATAAATAAATGAAAAGAAATAATAAAAAATTAATTATTTTTTTTAAAATTTTTTTTTAAATTATTTAATTTTTTTTCAAAGATTAAACAATTATCAGCCGTTATTTTAAGACAAAAATTAGTTGCACAATGGATCAAATTCGATATTCCATCTAGAAAGTATATTAAAGAAACTATCCTCCAATTAGTTTTATCACAACCAAGTCAATTAGTTAGAAGATCAATTTCTGAAGTTATTATTATTATTGCTAGAATCGAAACTGCTGCAGGTACATGGCCAGATTTATTCCCATTTTTAATTCAGTTAACATCACACCAAGATCCAATTACAAGACAAGTAGGTTTTAGTATATAGTGTAATTCTATAAATTACATTGAATATTAACTATTTTTTTTTTATCAAAGATTCAAATACATATTTTAGATTCATTAATTCAAAATGTTACCAATATTTTAAAACTTTGCCCACAATTACCTGAAGTATTAAAAACAACAGTTGTAGATCCAGAGTTATCAGTTAGAGCACTCTCAGTTAAGGCAATTGGTTCAGCAATTTATGCCGTTCAAGCAGAATCTAAAGTTGTAAGTATTATTAATTGTTAACATTTATATATAATTTAATTTAACTTGTCACTTACAATTTTTATTTTAAAATTTTTAGAAACCATTTATCGAATTAATTCCAGCTTCATTACAGGTTATTAAGCAATGTATTGAAAATGATATGGAAGATGATGTCATTTCAGCTTTTGAAATTTTTAATGATCTTGCAGAAAGTCCATATGCAACAATTAAACTTCAAATTCCATTAATTGTTACATTTAGTATTGATATAATTAAACATCCAGATATTGATAATTCAATTAAAACTGTTGCAATCGAATTCTTAGAAACTATTATCCAATAGTAAGTTGATTTATTTAGAAACATCAATTTATATCACACACATTTTATTATTCATTTATTAACTTTTTAATTTTGCATAGCCAACCAAAAATTTTAAAAGATAAAAATTTATTAAATCCAATCTTACAACTTTTATTCAATATTTTAACATTAGAAAATAATTCAGCAGATGAAAATGATTACGAATTTAATATTTATCAATCAGCAGCTATTGCAATTAAAGAATGTGGTAAAAGTTATTCAAGCAAACTTATTTACTATCCAATTTTACCATTATTAAAAGAGTATTCAGATAGCGCCAATCCAAACTTCAGAAATGCAGCTATGACAATTATTCAACAATTATCCTATGGTTGTGTCGAAACTATGAAGGACGATCTTGATAATATTATCCAATTCGTAATCAGAGGCTTAAAAGATACCGATAAAAAAGTAAAGCAAAATGCATGTGTTTGCATTGGTAAATTATCACAAACCCTTACACCAGAAATCTATAAATATACCAATACAATTTTCCCATTAGTATTCGATAATCTTGCCGATCCAGATGACCAATTCATCCTTAGATGCTGCTTTGCTCTCGAAAACTTTTTATTAGATCTCGAACCAAAAGAAATTAAACCAATTCTTCCAAACATTATGGATAAATTAGGTCTATTAATTCAAAGAGATAGTGTTCAAGTTAAAGAATTTACAATTTCAGTAATCTCTTCAATCGCTGTCGCCATGGAGTTACAATTTGAACCATATTTCGAACAAGTTCTCAAAACCTGTCTTAGTCTTAGCAAAACTGATGACCCAGCTCTTTATCTCCTCAAAGCCCATTCAATTGATTGTATTGGTTCATTAATTAAAACTGTTCCAAAAGAACGTTTCAAGGTACATTTAGTCGAACTCTTTAACTATATTCATGATACAGTCGAAAACACTAAATCAAGCGAAGTCATTGAAAGTTCATTCATTTTCTACTCTAATGCTTTTGAACATTTCGGTGAAGAAATTGGTGAAATTTTACCACGTATCTATTTACAAGTTTTCAAGTCTGCTACTTCAGATGATGGTGTTGTTAGTCACAGAGCCGAAAATAAAAATGTTAGTGGTATCGATAATGAAGGTGAGGACAAAGTTATTGATGAAGACGAAGATTATGAATCAATTAGTGTACGTACTTCTTTCCTCGACGAAAAGTCTGCTGCCATTAGTTGCATTAGTGTTATGGCTCGTTCATTACCAGTCTCATATTTCCCACACATCGAAACTACCATCCAAATCATTGAACCACTTACTCAATATTTCCACGAGGAGATTAGAGATAATGCCCTTTTAGCTCTCCAATCATTGGTTATTCCAACTAATCATCATTTCCCAGCTCAAACTCAATGGGTTCAAGGCGATATTAATCATCAAGTCTCTCCACAAATGAGAACACTTTTAGATTTCTCATTCCAAATTTACACACATATTTTCACAATGGAAAGAAAGAAAGAGGTTGTTGCTCGTGCTTGTGGCTGCATTGCTCAAACTATTGCCGATTTAGGTCCAGGTGCAATTGCCCCTTATTTAGGTGAAGTTGGTCAATCATTATTAAAAATCTTCAACAATGGTCTTTACTGCCAAACTTGTTCCTCACCAGACACCAACGACGAAGCTGATGTAGAAAATGAAGAAGAAAACGATGAAGACGAAGAAAATGATGAAGATGCTTTTGATGAAGATGAAGATACAGATTACCAATTAATTAATAGTGCTGCCGAATGTATTATTGAAATGGCTACTGCTATTGGTAAAGAGTTTAAGGTATACTTGGAAGCTTCACTCCCATTCCTCTTAAAACTAACCAAGAAGAATACTCTCACTTCAATTAGGGCTGTTGTTATTGGTACTATTGCCGAATGCTTCAAATTAGTTGAATCTGACTATTCTGGTTATCTTCCAAGACTCTATCCATTAGCTCTTAAAGGTCTTAAGGACACTTCAAGTAAAGTTCAAAGAGTTTCATGCTATTTAATGGGTGTTCTTTTACAAAGAAGTATTTCATCTACTGAAGAACAATATACTCAAGCCCTCCAACTTATTTCACCACTTATTGCCGAGGAAGATCAAGAACGTGTAGTTTTAGATAATGCAATTGGTTGTGTTTGTCGTATGATTGCAACCCAACCATCATTTGTACCAGTTGCATCAGCTTTACCAGTAATTCTTTCTAAATTACCAATTCAAGAAGATAGAGAAGAGGTTGAACCTTTGGTCGATGCACTTTTTGTTCTCTTTAATACTAAATTCGATTTGGTAGCCCCACATACTCAAGTTATTGTCCAATCATTAGCTCCATACTTTAATAAATCTAATGACCTTTCATTAAAACAAATTATAACAGATAAAATCAATCAACTCATCTCAAGTTTATTAGCTAGATTCCCTGATCAAATGAAACAAGTTTTATCAAGTATTCCAGAATTTAATCATTATGTTAATAAATAAATAAATAAATAAATAAATAATAATAACAATAGTCAAAATTTTAAAAAAAAAAAAATAATTAAAATTTTTTTTTTTAAAATAGATAAAAATTAATAATTAACAAATTATAAGTTAGTTTGTGATTAGTTAATAATAGAAAATAAAATAAAAGATATACAAAATTGTATTTTTAAAAAGTTTTTGTTTATTGTTTTTTTTTATAATTAGATCGGTTTTTTGGGTTGAATCTATTTTTGAAATACGATAATTGAATATTTTCTGGTTTAGGTTCTATAGGATATACTATTTCACCTATTTTTAATTTTTTAATTGTTAATGGGATCTTTTCAGGTGTTACAATTTGATCAAATCCATGTCCTAAACATAGAGTTTTAATATTTGGGGTAATTACAATTTTGTCCAATGGATCCTTTATATTAAATAAAGATAGATTTGTAACCGAGTCAGATAAAGAGCCCTTATAAAAATTATTATTAAAGTTGCCACAAAGAGTGATTTTGGTAATATTTGTTGGTATATTGGAAAGTGAAAAATTGTCGTCTACCTGGTAGTAATGGGTGGATGAGATTTCTAATGGCAAGATAAAGTAGTCGTCATAGTTGTTTAAAAAACAACAATCCTTAATTGATTCTAGTTCTTTGGTTTCATTAATTTGTTTTGCTGCTATGAGATTTAGTGATATTTTTTTTTCTTTGATTTTTTTGATTTTACGATTTAAAAATGAAATTAGATTATTATTAATTTTTTCATCTTTTACTGTTGTTGATATAACTTTTAAAGATTTGCAGCCTTCAAAATTAATTGTTTCGATTGATTCTAATTCTAAAAATACAGTTTTTAAATTTTCCATTGAAAACATGTCTAGTTGTTTTAGTTTTTTTAAATTGAGTGTAATTGTATTAAACTGTGTATCAGATATATTTAGGTACTCTAAATTCTCGAAATAATTAAAAGTTCTTTTAAAGTGAAAGCTTTCTACAAGATCGGAATTTTTAAATACTTTTAAATATTCTATTAAAGTATTGTTGAAGTTTTGAAGAAATTGGAGATTAACATCAAATGAAAATTCTTTTATATTGATCGAGCCTTTTAAATTTAAATATCTTGAATTTGGAGGATAAATAAAAATTGAATTTATTTGTTTGCATCCCATTGAGTTTATAAATTTTAAATTTGGAGAGTATAAATGGATGGATTCTAAAGAGGAACAATTGTCTACTCTGAGGTCAATTAGTGAATTAAAAACTAAGAAAATCTTCATTATAGCACCACCGCCCAAGTTTTTTAAATTTTTGCACCCACTTAGGTCAAGACTTACTATTTTATAGTGATAAAAGTAATTAAAAACCTCAGAACACAGAAAATTACTATTTCTTATGTTAATGGTTGATATTTTTTTTGATTTTATAAAACTAAAAAGTGTATCTTGTTGTGGTTTGGTATAGTCACTGAAATCTACCTCTAATAAACTTTCTAATTCGAAATTTGATATAATATATTTTGGATTTTTTTCAATTGCTGGTATAAGTAGACTTAAACTTAAAAATTTGGTGGCTAATGATTTGAAATCATTTATTACTTGAAGAAGGTTATAACTTTCTGGTTTATAAAAAAAATCTACCATTACTTTTGATACTACGGAATTTTTATTATAAATTCTTGATTTCAATATATCTGAAGTATGATTTTTTGAACTGGACACTTTTGATTCTGATGGGTTAACATATTTATTCAATTCGTTATATCTTTCTTTTATAGGACGGTTAAGATTTAAAAATGGTTTGTGTCTGCATGAGATGACTGGTTCTAAATAATCTAATATATCTAAATGTGTTTTGGGTTCATTTTCACATAGTAGTTTTTGTAAACGCCTTAGTTTTGTATATAAATCTGGGACTGTTTTGCTATTAAATGTAATTTCGGTATTGCACTCTTTATTTTTCGATTTATTATTTAATTTGAATAGAGTATCTGATTGGTTTTGATATGTTGATAGCTTCCTTAACCATAGAGTTATAATACTATACATTTCTAAATTTTCAAAATTTTTGATTACATCTTCATGAACCATATCGTTCATTTGATCAAATAAAAATAAAGCTGTTTCTGATTGTAAATTTCCTTTTCTAAAAGACATTGATGGCATAAAAGACTGGTCATTGTCTATTGAGTATAATTTATATTTGTAAATAGGGTTGCTTGTATGAGATCGCGTAACGATATAGTTTCCTAAATTACCATCGGCATTATTGATTATCATTGCTAAAATTAATTGTTGAGAAATATTTGATGGATCTATTTGTTTAATTATATGTGGTTTTTTTTCTAATACTTTATATAGTGGATTTCCTGGGATTTTTTGACTTATTAATACTGGTATATTTTTTGAATCAATTGAAACAAGTTCACAATTTGGTGTTAATTTGCAATTGAATAGTTCGTCACTAAGCATTTTGACGGCAATCTCTATACCTGGGAACTGTGGCATAAATTTGAAATAAATTACATTTCCATAATCGTCTTTAATTTTAGAAACAATTCTAGTGCCTGCAAGATTTTTTTTTATAGGTTCACCTTTTTCATCAAACATTTGATTGTAATAGATTTTTGGAAGTATTCTTCTTTTATTAGATTGAGTTTCGGTTATATATAAAATATCTTTACATTTTAAAAAGGATTTTGGTGCTTCATTTTCATATGGAATTAGTTGATCTAGTGATATTTTCCATGTGATAAGTGGATTGGTTGAATATAGTTGTTCTAAATAAGGTCTTAAAACTACCTTTTGTTTATGTGAGAGGTTTTGGTAAAATAAACTAATGATTGTCTCATTTGCTTTTTTTCCTGCACCTTTTTTAATCAGATTTATTAAAACATTCAGGTTATTATATTTTGCTGTATAGTCGAATAAGGTAATACCTTTATCTAGGTCAAGTACTTCCAAGTCTAATTTATAATTCTCGATTATGAATTTGATGGTGGGCCAACAATCAGGATACTCTTTTAATATTTCACTGTCATTTATTAAGGAAATGTAATTTTCATTATTGATTGAAATTTCTAAAAAACCAATTGTATTTTTGATGATATTTGCTGATGCACCATACCTCATTAGTCTTATTAAAACTTCCCTGTTCTTGAAAAATGATTTATGAAAATTAACTTTATCTTTATCACTTGTAAATACTGAATAAATATTTTCGAACCATTCAAGAAAGTTTTTACTTGTTTTACAGTTTTTGTTACAAAGGGAGCCACATTTACTGTCACTTAAAAATGAACATTCTATTAAATCGTTAAATTCCATATTTTCAATAAGTTCTCGAATTGTATTTAGAATTGAAATAGGTTTCTCTTTTAAATATGTTGATTCTTTAATGAGCTTCTGTATTTCTTCTTTACTTGTTTTGGAGTTTTTTTTATTTTTTAAAAACAGTGATTGAATGGATTCTGAACTATAAACTATTTCTATTTGTTTTATTGGTTTCATTTCATCTTTGGATAATAACGTGTAGTATATACTTGTAAATGGATGGACAGCTTCAAACAATTCTTGATGGGTCATTTGTTTGTTCGATAGTAAACACTCTTTAATTAATTTAAATCGTTGGTACATTAATTGAACCCAACCACTATTAAATTGTAAAGGTACTTGTAATTCTCCTTCTGCATTTTGAATGTATTTTTTCTTTTCTTCTGGTGTATCATCTTTTGGGTTAATTAATAATGAAATCATTGAGCTGTAAACTGAGTTTTGATGGTGGATTTTTAATAGCCATTTTAAAAGGATTATAGGTGGTGAAAGTTCGATAATTTGAGAAACAGTGTTCTTATGAATTGGTTTTATCATTAGAGGTTTTATTGTAAATAATATATTCTTTATGGATGGGACCGCTTCTGATATCTCGGCTAGGTTTACTTCTAATGTATTATCGTCAATAGTGGCAATATCGTCTGAATAAGATTTTAATAGCAGGATTTCATTTTGTTTTAATGAATGGTCGTTGTCAATACATACAATATCATTTGTACCCTCTTTAATAATCATATTGTCTGGTTTATAGTCTGTATGTATACTTAAAAAACTTGAAATAACTTGAGAACTGAAGCTTTCTAAATTTAAATCGTCATATTTATCATTATCTCCAGAGTTTTCTAAATATTCGTTTAATGTTTTTCCTTTTTGTAATAGTGATGCTTGAATAAAAAAACGGGTTTCAACTAAAGAGTCATCTATGCTTTTATGAATTGGTGGTAAAATTCCGATAAGCTCTGCTATTGTGGATTTTTCTAGTTGTTCTTTTTTTTTTGAAACATCTATCATGGTTGATGATGATCTGGTATCTGGCGTAACAATTTTTAGTTTATCTAACATGAATAGTTGAGTTGGTGATGTAAGTAATTTATGTGGAAAAAGAAGTTTATTTAGATGATATATAGCAAACTCTTTTGAGGGATTTAATAATGCATCAGATGTGTCAATTTTTAAATAGATTTCATCATTTAATATGGTACCACAACTGCTTCCATTTACATTATTATATACATGTCTTTTCTCTTCTATGTTATATGAGGCCAAGTTGTAAGCTGTTTGTAGACATAGAGTTTGCTTATATTTTAATTCTTGATCGATGAATATAATCGGCTTTTTTAAATTAATTATATCAGCTGGCTCGTTTTGTGATGGTTTTGAATTTAAAACTTTTTCTGATAATTTAGTTTTGAAATTTTCTAGATATATGGCATGTTTATTACAAAGGTCCTCTAACTTTTTAAAATTGATATTTTTATAGTTTTGACTCTCTTTTATTATTGATACATATTTATTAATTTCTTTTATTATTAAATCTATGGGTTTAAAAATATTGTGATCTTTAGTTGGATTGCAAAGAAATCTATTTTGGTTGTTTTCATCGCTATATATTGATTCTTGAGGTGATTTTACAAGTAATAGTATTCGTTTAAGCTCATCCGATTTATCTTCATCCTTTATCATTTGTTTTAACTCTAACTGAGTTTCATAATAATGGGGTATATCTACATATTTAGATAAATAAAATGTAAGAGCTTCATAACTTTCATCATAGACATCCATTTTATACTATAATAATTTTTTTACAAAAAGAAAACTTAATTTTAAAAATTAAAAATTTTATCAAAAAAAAAAATTAATATTTAAATTCAAAATTAAAAAAATTAAAAAAAAAAAAAAATTAATTTTATATTTAAAATTAAAGAAAATAAAAAATTATATAATCTATATAATTATAAACTATATTTTATTTATAAATACATACCTATGATTATTATTATTATTAATATTTTATCTTTAGGTTTTATAACTATTATTATTATTACCTTTTTTTGAAAATTTATTGTGATGAATGTTAATTTTTTTTTATTTTTAGAAAAAAAGTTTTTTTTTAAAAAAATATTTTTTTTTATTAATATTTTTTTTTTTTATATTATTTTTGTAAATCCCGATTCATTATTTTATTTTAATCCCTTCGTTTTTTTATTAGATCCAACGTTTTTTTTCTTGGTATTATATCAAATAGTTAAAGTTTGATAACAATTTCTCACCTCCACCTTTCGATTTATCTTTGGTTTCATTTTTTGATAACTTAAAAAATACAAAAAAAAAAAAAAAACAATGGGATCACATAAAAATAAAAAAAAAAAGAAATTTAAAAATTTTTTAAAAAAAAAAGAATTTCTTTATTTATTTTATTTTTAATTTTATTTTTATTTTTCTTTTATTTTTTTTTATTTAAGAATATGTTTTTACAAAAATAAAAATAAAAATAAAAAAAAAAAAAAATTGAAATGAATATTTTATATGATTTAAAAATTATTTATTTATATAAAGTTTTTTTTTTTTTTTTTTTTTTTTTTTTTATAATGTTGTGATTTTGTTTATGTTGATGTTTTGTTGTATTATGATATATTATCCATTTTCATTAATTGTATTTTTATTTACATGATTTTCATTGTGTCGTCCATATTTATGAACAAAGTCAATATTTTGATGATTAACATAACTGGGGAGAGTTTTTTGAGTTGGTTTAATATCTTCATTATTTTCTTATAGCACAATGTATCAATAAATGTGAACCCAGAAGGTTGATCGAATTGAATTTGAGAAATTTCATGATATGAATAACCAATTGGTAATGGAACAATATGTTTGTAATCTCTAACCACTGGGAAAGTAAGATTATTTGGTTTGAATGAAATTGGAATTTCTGGGATTTGAATTTTTAAATTCAAAGAAACTGCATCCCATGTAAAACCTTCATAAATGACCTTCGTTTGGGAAACATCTCTGCCATTGACCATATTATCTTCTTTCAATGTATTTTCGATGGAAGAAAATGGTGGAATAGCAATTCGGTGTACCAATTTATATACCTTTAAATTTGTATCGTGATGGTCATAATCTTGCATTGAACTTAAATGTATGATACAAATGTTAATGCACAAAGACCTTCATATGCATTGTAGTGGTCAAGTAATAATAAATTACTTTGATCTAAGAAACTTTCATTGTTTTTATATCTGGTGGTATGACATGTTGATACTGGACCACCCTTTGCATAGGAAACAATATCTGTACAGATGAAAAAAATTCTAGTTTAAGTTCAAGTTCAAGTTCAAGTTCATCTGTACTTCATTTCTGAACTTGAACTTGAACTTGAACTTAAACTAGAATTTTTTTCTTGTATTTTTTTGTCTAATTGATTAACAATATCTTTGGAAACTCCAATTTGTTTTTCTAACTTGGCGAGGACTAATTGATAATTAGAAATTTGTTCTTTCTTTGATGCAATATCTTTATCAAGGATACCTTCACACTTGTCGGTATTGGTTGGAGTACCACCAATTGATTTTCCTAATATATCTAAGTTATTTCTGGTAATTATTTGATCGTATCTATGATTTAAACTTTTTATTACTTGTTTTTTATCCTTATTATCAAATTTCTTTCTGTCATTTCTTAACAATGTATTATACATATTTTCTATTGCCAAATCTTTTGAAAATTGTACAATATATCCTTTGAATAATATATCATTTTCTGTTCTCCAAAATATACTGGTATAACCACTTCTTACACTTGGATTCTTCTCCATTGGTAATGAACTATAATCTTCACCATCATTACCATTTTCTTCGTCTATAATATTTTTTTAAAAGAAAAGATACACATTAAGATTAATATTTAAATTTATATTGAAAATTACTTTTATGTTGATTTTGATTACCTGCTCTTGAACTTGAACTTGGGTTGTTATTATCTTCATCGTTATCATTTTCATCTAAAATTATTTTTTAAATGAATAGATAGACACTAATATTAATGTTTAAATTTATATGGACAACACAATGAAAATCATGTTAATAAAAATACAATTAATGAAAATGGATAATATATCATCAACATAAACATAAACATCAACATAAACAAAATCACAACATTATAATGTTCCACCTAAATTGAACAAACCTCAGGTAAAAAAAAAAAAAATAATTGAAAAATTAATAAAAATTTTCTTTAAATTTTAATTTATTTTTCAAAATTATATTTCCTTATTAAAAAAAAAATATTTAAAATAATTTAAGAAAAATAAAAAAAAATTAAAAAAAATAAAATTTTATTTTTTTTTTAATAAGGAAATGAATAACCCAACTTGTTTTTTCATTTATTTTTTTACTTTTTTCTATTTTTATTTTTATTTATTTTATAAATTTTTTTTTTTTTTTTTTTTTTTAAATTTCTTTTTTTTTATTTTTATGTAATCCCTCATTAACTTTTATCACTAAATTTAATCAAATTATAAAACATGGTGTTATTCATAACAATATAAAAACATTAAAATTTTTAGATAACCCAAATATCTCAAGATTAAATCAAAACACAAGCCAAGTTTCATTGCAACATGTCAACAACACCAACCAAAATAATAATAGCATTATTCCGTCAAGTGTAACCAAACTATACCTAAATTCAAATAAACCTTTAAATAAAAATGATATACCACCATCAGTTACACATCTTTATATGCCAAATTTTGATCAGGTTTTGCATGATGGCGATCTGCCCAACTCAATTACATTTTTAGAATTTACAAGGTTTAATAAAAAATTATCACCCAATTCAATACCATCATCAGTAAAAAGACTATGGCTTGGTGACTTTTATGACCATCCTCTTTGCAATCTACCACAGAACCTCGAAGTATTGGAATTAGGCTTCTACTTTAGTTGTGAAATAAGAGAAAACGATATTCCGCCATCAGTTACAAAAATAATAATCTATCCAGACTATCCTCACCCGATTCCCCCACCTTTACTAAAAATAATAGAGTTTTTCGATTAGAAAGGGTATCAATAACCTATTAATAAATATAGTTATATCTATTCAATTGTTTAAAAAAAGAAATAATTTCCTTTTTGAAAATTTTAAAATAAAATAATTTATTTTTATAAAAAAAAAAAATTAAAAAAATAAAAAACTTTTTTTTTAAATTTTTTTATTTTTAAATTATTACTTTCATTTTATTTTATTTTATTTTATTTTTAATAAAATAACAATTACTTTATAATAAAATGTCAGAAGACCAAAAAAAAGTTAGATTTAACGAAGAAATAGAAACCAAAATAATAGAAGAAAACAACAATAATAATAATAATAATAATAATAATAATAATAATAATAATAATAATAATAATAATAATGAAGAGGATTTCGAAGAACAAATTTTAAAACAAATTAAAATTGGTAATGAAAAACAAAATCAAAGAGAAAAAGAAATAAAAGAAAGAAGCAAAATTATAGATTTAAAAAGAGAAAGAAAATACAAAGAGGAAATATTAAATGACAAAATTGAGAGCATTGAAGGTGAAGAAAATTATGATAGCGATGATGAAGAGAGAAGAAAAAGGGATGAGAATAAGAAATTCAAAGCAACTATTAGAACGAAAAGAGCATTTAGGAACGATGACGAATATAGTGATGAAGAAATTGACAATGACGACGAAAGCGAAGATAGATTCAGAAAAAATAAAAATGATGATGGGGAAATTGAAATCGACTCATTTAATTTAGAAGGTGAAAATGAAAGAGGTTATTTTGATCAGAGTGGTAATTTTATATTCAAAGAAGAAACAAAAGAAGATGATGCATGGTTACAAGAATACGATCAAGTATGGTCATCTAAAATGCCTAAAATATCAAAAAGAGAACTCGAGAAACAAAATGCACAACAAACTGCAGAAGAAGAAGATCTTTGGGAAAAAGAGCACCACGAAGAACTCAAAAAAAGAAGACTGGGCCTATCTGATAATGAAAAATCATTCCGTTTAGAAACATTGAACAAAGTTTATAATATTTTACAAAATGAAAAGGAAACTGTTTTATCAGCATTAAAAAGACTAGGTGGCAACAATAATAGTGTATCGAAAAGACCAGAAATCAAAAGAAAGAACCCACCAAAAAACAAAAGAACCACCACTACTACTACTACATCCACCACCGCCACCCCAACCGACACTAAACAATCTGAAGAAGATAAAAAACAATTTAACAAATTAACAGAACTTGCAGACTCATTACTATCAAGTGGTTTTATGAATATTTATTCAGAAACTAAATTATCGATTAATGAAATATTTAAAAAAGACTCTTATACACCATTATAAATTAAAACTCTATATAAAAATAAATATTAAAATTGTTTTTTTTTTTTTTTTTAAAATTTACTCATAAGATAATATTTATTTAATTTTATTTGTTTATTATTTTATAATGATTTAACTTTATTGATTGGAATATAATCAATGTTTATAACTTCTTTAACATCATTATCTAAATGGTTTAATTGGTAACGAACATATTTTACTAAATTTAAAAGTTGTTCAGTTTTGACATCTTCACTCATGGCAAAGAAATTTCTCCAAATTGCATTAACTAAAGTAGCATCATCAAACAATGCTTCGTCATATGCAATTAATGAACCTAAATAAGATGTATAAAATTCTCTTAAATATTTTGGAATGAATCTTCTTTTAATCTATATATAAAAAAAATTTTATTAATAAAATTAATTTCTGTGTGTGCTTGTGGTAATGTATAGAAGTATGGTGTGTAGTGTGGGTTTGAATATTTATATAAATTGATATTTTATTATAATAAACTTACACCAGCTAAAGCAATTTTCTTTTCTAAATCTTCCCAAAAACGATCATATAAATCGATTTGTATTTGTTTTGAATTTTTGGCACCTTCTTTTCTTAAACGTACATATGAGATCCAAATATTTAAAACTGAAACTGCAAACCAACTTCTAACATTAACTGGTAAACCAAATTGTTTATAAAATTCGATATCTGATGATTGTTTTGTAATTGCTTCATAAATATTGTAACTATTGTGTAATGAAAGAGTATCTTTTGAATAGAATCCCATTAATCTTAAATGCCATGGTCTCTCATCTTTTTTCATTTCTTCTTTTGTCATATGTTTAACATTTGGTTCATATTTTAATAAAATTATACTTGGATCTACATTATTTAATTTTTCATCTTTAATTAATGATTCGTTATTATTTATATCTTTGTTATTATTACTACTTGTACAAAATAATCTATTATTATTATAATTTATTATTGAAAATGGTCTATTTGATGATTTAATGGTATTTAAAACCACTTTATTATTAAGACTTAAATTTATTGTTCTTTTGATTAAATTATTTATTTGAAACATCTTTATTTGGTATTAATAATATATAATATTTTAAATGAAAAAAAAAAATAAAAAAATAAAGAAAACGAAAAAATGATTTTTTTTATTTTTTTAATTTTTTTTTATTTTTAATTTTTTTTTTTTTTAAATTATGACATCTTTATTACTTCACACCATTATTGCTTAATTATAAATAATTACTTTTGTTTATAAATATTAATCATTTTATTTATTTAAAAAAATACAAAATAAAATAATATTTAATAAATAATTAATAAACATTAAAATAAAAAATAATTTTATAAAAACTAAAATAAAAAATTAACGAATTTAAAAAAATTAAATTTAATTTTTTAAAAAAAAAAAACGAATACCCCTTTTTAATTTTTTTTTTTTTCATTTTTATTTTCTATTTATAATAATTTTATATCTCAATAATAATAGTAATAATAATATGATTATACCAAAATTTACAGTTGAGCAAAATGAAGAGTTTGTTATAGTTGTTGCAAGAACACCATACATTAAAGCATCGGAAGCAGATTTTTATTTGTTGGGAAATCAATTCAAATTTTATTGCAAACCTTATTTCCTTAGATTAACATTCAGCCACAATGTTGCTGAAAATGGTAAAGAAAAGGCATCATACAATGTAAATACTTTAGATTTTACATTTCACTTACCAAAAGAAACCATTGGCCAAAAGTTTGAAGATTTAGATTTAGTTACCAAATTATTAGAAAGAAAAGGAGGTAATACCAATAAAGTTCAAGTATTAAGTGAAGGAAGTGAATATGTCGGCGATGTTAATGAAGATTATGAAGGTGAAGAAGGTGAAGAAGAAGATATTGAATGGGAATTCGAACAAGTTTTAGAACCAGAACCATCCGTAAGTAAAAAATAAAACTATTATTAATATACTCAAAATTATCAATAATATTAATATTTATTTTATTTTAGTTGGATGAGTTAAAAAGTAAAGTAAAATATGGTTTCAACGATATGTACAGTGATTTCTTTGAAGGTTTACAATCTGAAATTGGGGATATTATCGACATTCCAATTATAGAGTCAATTACAAAATCAGAAAGAAATAAGGTTAGAACTGAATTTGAAAATATCCAATTCGATCCAGAAAGATATATGGAGTGTCATATATTCAATGACGATGTTAAGGAATTATTACATCATAAATGCAATTGGGAAGAATTAATTTTAAAAAAAAATAAATTAAAACAAGAAAAGAAAAAAAATCAAGATATTAATAATAATAGCGATATTAATAATAATAACAACAACAATAATAATAATAATAACACAGATACCAAAGAAACACCAAAACAAGAGGAAGTTAAAGAAACAAAACAATTTGATCCATCCAATTTAGAAGATTTTGATGATGGAGATGAAATTCAAAATGAAACTGAAATTCAATCATCAGATATCCCAGATGAAATTTTAGAAAAGATAAATTCGACCTTATCAAAGAAGATTTCAATTGTAAACGACTCTGACCCATCAACAATTTTAGGTGAAGAAGAGGAGAAATCAAGCACTCAAATTAACAATAAATATTCAAAAAAACTTATTACATTTACCGATGAAGAAAAAGATATTATGAAAAATTTACCAAATAAAGAGTATATGATTTCAAATGAAAAATCATTGTTGTTGGGTTTAGTCGATATTATATTTGCATATGCATACAACGAAAGAGTCAATATGGGTTATGAAAATATCGAATCTGCATGGAACATTTGTAAAATATCAGGAACTTTATCATGTTTGGATACCTTTAGCAACCTTACATCCGTCGTAGAATGCTGTCTCAAGAGATCATTGACCTATCCATTATACAGAAGCTGGGATCTTTCTGCAAGAGTTTTTCAAGACACTCAACAAATTTTCCAATTGGGTAAAAGATGTTTATTAAAATGTTTATTAGATATTAAAAAGAAATTAGAGGGCCACGAATTCAAATATTATTTAAATAGATTATATATTGACGACTATTGTGTATGGTTACAACATGCCAGCAAAAAGAAATTAAAATCATTAAAATTAAAATTATCAGATTACAAAATAACAAAAAATATAGTAGATTGGCCATTAGAAGAATATGAAAAATTAGTTGAAGAGGAAGGTATGGTATTCGGTGAAGTCGAAGACCAAGAAGAACAATATGAATATGAAAATCAAGATTCAAATGATGAAGAAGATGATGATGAAACTAATTAAATAAAAATTATCATAAATAGTTTTATTAATTTAATTTAATTTAATTTTATATTTTATATTTTATATTTTATTATATTTTATTCTATTTTATAACTACAAATAACGATATATTTAAATAAAATTTCTTAATCTTTAAATTTATAAAAATGTGGTGCAATTTCAGATAACCACGTGGGTTCGATAACTGTGATATCTTTCATATATTCTTTAGTTGTAATCGTTACATCGTTAAATAATACCCATTGTGGTGAATTGGATAGGCATACTACAGAGGTTGGGTGAAGATAGAGAGTGTGACGTTCTCTTACTGTTTGATAAGAGCCATTGGATTGTAATTGAGCAGCATTCATAAAGAAACCTGATAAAATTGATTTTCTAATTGATATACTAGAGTTCTTGATATTACCAGATTCGATGCATGATTGTATTTTGATAGAGTATTTCTTTGCATATGCCAATAGTTGTTTTCTAACTTGTTGAACACGTTGCATTGCTTTATAATTAATTTGGTGGTCATGGCACCATGATGATGAGCTATTATTGGCGATGAATGAGTTGTAAACATTGAGTAGTGTTAAATGATCACCTTCTTTAACTATAAGATCCTTTCTTGATTTATGATTCTGGTTTGTAAAGAGACCTTGAATATTTAGCATTGCCGCAATTGTGATGATCTCTTCACTACAACCAAATTTCTCTGATTGAATAATCATTTTTGAAAATGATGGATCTGTTGGAAACTCTGCCATTATCATACCAACTGGTGATGTTAGTGTTCCTGAGTCGTTGATTGCTTCCAAACCATACAACACCTCTAATGCTCTTATCAGTGATGATGGTGGGGGTGGTGATACAAAATCGAAATGTAATATATTATCGATACCCAATGCCTTCAATTGTAAAACAGTGGTACTTAAATTGCTTCTTTGTATCTCTGGTGTGGTTTGCTTTTCTAACAAACGTTCGAATGTATCTTGAGTGTATAGTCTATAGCATTTACCGGCTCTATTACGGCCAGCCCTACCAGCTCTTTGGTTTGCAGATGACTGTGAACATGGGGCGACTATCAAAGACTCTAAACCAGTAATAGAGTTATATGATTTAAGTTTAACAAACCCACAATCCACTACATACACTATTCCATCAATTGTAATAGAGGTCTCGGCTATATTGGTGGCCACAACGATCTTTCTAGTTTTCTTTGGATCCGGTAGCTTTTCGAAAACCTTCATTTGTTTATTAATCGATAAACCTGAATACATTGGCACTATACTATACTTCATCTTACTACCAGGAGACGGTGTACTACTATTATTTGCTAAGGATTCTAAACGATCTTCTATTGCCATTATCATCTTTTCAATTTCCTCTTGACCTGTTAAGAAAACCAATATATCACCGGGTGGTTGAGTTAAATGTATATTCACGACTGTCTCCAATGTCTTTTCTATGTAGTTTACAGTTGGTTCTTCTAAATAATGAATATCTACTGGATAGACACGACCTTCAATTGACAATATCGACACTGTATCCAATGTTTTATCAAATTTTGTATTGTGATTGAAAAAGTTGTAAAATTCCTCAGCATTCAATGTGGCAGATGATATAATTAATTTCAAATCGGGTCTTCTCTTTTGCACCTTCTTTAGTAAACCCAATAATATATCTGTGGGTAGTGATCTCTCGTGAGCTTCATCTATCATTATAACTGGATACTTTTGAAGCAATGGATCCAGCATCATTTCTCTTATTAGCATACCATCAGTCATATATTTTATTCTTGTCTCTACATCTGATATCTTTTCATCGAATCTTACACTGTACCCGACTGTTTTACCTAGAGGTTCACCCAATTCTACAGCCACTCTATCAGCGACTGATATTGCTGCTACTCTTCTTGGCTGTGTACATACAATAGTTCTAAAACCATCTGCCCATCCATTTTCATATAAAAATTGTGGAATTTGTGTTGATTTACCACAACCAGTTTGGCCTACTATAATTAAGGTTTGTTTATTTTCTAATAAATATAATATTTGTTTTTTATATTCGAATATTGGTAATAAAACTCTTTGTTGGGTTATTGATAGTTTTTGGTTACTATTAAATATAAAATTTAAATTATCATTATCTTTATCGAATGAAACTGAGTTATTACTACTATTATTTTTATTATTATTATTATTATTCATTATTATATTATCATTATTATGGTAAATAATTATTATATACTATTATTACTATTATATCTATTATTATATTATAAAACAATTAATATATAATTTAAATATAACCTAGTAAACTTAAATATTGTTGATCGCGTGCATTCATTGAAAAAAATTTTACAAAACAATTATTATTATTTTTATTTTTTTTATTTTTTAAAAACAATTTTTTTTATTTTTTTTTAATTTTCAAAAAATCAATTAAAAAATTAAAATAAATAAAATAAAAAAAAAAGAGTTTGCATAAAATTTTGTAAATACACACACTATAACCAAATTTATTTATATACACACACATTCGCCCCCATACAGATAAATAATACCCCACACACACGCACGTAAAATAAACACACTTAAATATTATTTTAAAAATATTATTTTTTTTTTTTAAAATAAAAATTTTTTAATTTTTAATTCGATTCAATATATTTTTATTATAATTATTATGCCATTAGAAAAAATTATTAGTAATAATAAATAATAATAAATAATAATAATAATAATAATAATAAATAAAACTATTTTTTTTTTTTTTAATTTTTTTATTAAAGTTTAAAAAATTAAAAAAAAAAAATGATGAGCAATGAAGATAAAAAAAGAGGTAATTTTATAAATTCAGCAACAGCAAATATAGCAGCAAAAAATGAGGATTATAATGATATAGACTACACTGATTATGAAGAGATAACACCTGAATCTTTAGGTATGTACTACATAATATTTTTATAGATATTATCATTATTTTTTATTTATTTTACTCACACTAATGATAATTAAATTATTTTTATTATTATTCAGTTCGTAGGAATAGAACTAAAGAGTTTAAAGATTTAAGAAATTCAATTCAGTTAAATAAAAATATGGTATGGGAAAAATTAAAACCAAAAGTAAAATTGGCTACAATTAATAAGAGTAATTTATTGAACGATGATATTAGCGAAAAGAGTAAATATGTTCATCAATGTTCACTATGCGAAACAAAATTTGGGTTAATTAAAAATAAAAAGCAAATATGTTTAATCTGTAAATTAATAGTATGTTCAGACTGTAACTACAACCCAATACCATTTAAAGAATTGAGAATACCATCAAATAATCAAAGTAAATATACCTTTTTATAGTTAACATTAAAAATAATTATAGAAATAGAAATTAATCAACTCTTATTTTCTATACACTAGTTGTATATACATGTAAGAATTGTTTTAGTATAATGGATAGTGTATCAAAAAAAGAAATTTTCGAATTTGAAAGTAAGAGGGCAATGTCATCATCTTTTTCACAATTTTATGAACAAATGGATTTAAATATGGTGGATTTAAAGAACAAGATGCCCAAATTTAAAGATATAGTTAATAAAATACCAAATAAGAACTCTCCACTATTAGCCCAGGCAAGAGATTTAGAAAGAGTAATATCCATTCACATTAAAGAATTTGAAAATGGTGTTAGGCAATTAAAAACATTACAAGGGTCAACCCCGAAACAGCAACAAGTTATATCCAATATGAAGCACTCTTTTGCTCTATTTCTTCAATCAAATTTACCACAATTCAAATTTACAACCAAACAACTTCTTGAAAAGTCATATTTACAGCCTGAAGAACCAAGTAAACCAGTTGATAATAAAGCAGATAATAACAATATAAAAAACATTAATATACCTTCAAACAATAATAATAATAATAATAACAATAACAATAGCATTAATATTACTACAGCTAACAATGTTCAAAAATCACCACCACTTTTATCAAGTTTTATAAGTTCATTTTCAAATTTACTAAAACCATCACAACCACCAGCCCAACCATTATCATCAACACCCCCAATACCAGAGTTTAATTATGAAGACTCAATTGATAGAAGTAAGATTATATCAGTTGTTCCAGCCGTATGTCCAAAGAGAGGTGGTGCATTCATTGCAATCACTGGCGAAAATTTAAATAAACCAACGATTACCATCCAAATTGGCGGTATGTTAATTTCACCGTTTAAACAAAATGTAAATGCAATTTTAATTTTATCACCGTCACAAGATGAAGAAGGCGAAGTCGAAATTATAATATCTGATGGTCAATATATTCTATCGGAACAAAAGTTAATATTTACAGATATAGTATTTCAAACAGAAAACGATATTAGCAAAGCAAATGATCAAGCATTAAATACGTTCCAAAAATCAACTACCTCCCCATTATTAAATTCTTCAGGAGAATCAATTGACAATAGTAAATTAAATAAAAATAAAAACAATAATAATATGAATGGAGGTAACAACTACAGCAACAATAGTAATAATATAAATGGAAATCATAATAATTATGATAATATTAGTATAGGCAATAACAGTACTCATTCTTCACCAAAACTTAATAGTGCAGGTAATAGTAATTATTCTTCACCCAAATTCTCACCCAGAGCTCATCATAGAACAGATAGCACTGGTAGTGGACATCATAGATCCGATAGCACTGGTAGCAATGGTAACATTGATAATATTTTAAACAATCACGATAGTATAATGAAAAACTATCTAGGTAATAGCAAGATTGAGAGTTATAGTCAAATTGATAATTATAACAATAGTCCAAGTGATAAATATTCAATTATGGAAAGTGAATGGGGTTCAACAGGTGGCTCAATTGACGATATCACTGTAGAAATGGTGCATCCACTACAATCATCTCTTCGTGGTGGTACCAAAATTAGTGTACAATTTAAAAATCCAGTTAGACCATATATTAGTATTAAAGTTGGTGGCGTTCCGGTATCAATTACAGAAAGATCCTACGATGAAAAAAAAGTTTCTTTTTTCTCTCCTCCAATTTTAACTCAAGGAAGATACGATATTGAATTTCAACAAGATTCAAAAGTTTTAAATTTAGAAAATATAATAACCTATGAAAGACCACTACCCATTGACGATGACAATATTAGAGTAATAAATAATAGATTAACAAGTCAACAATTTAAACCCTCAAGAACCCTAGGTGGTAATAAAAAATTTTAAAAAAAAACTATATAATAAAACAATATACTATTTATTTATTACAATCCATAGTTAGTATTTATATTTTCATTTATGGGTTTATTTATATATTTATTTATGTTCATTTATATTTATTTTAAAAAAACATTTGTTTATTTGTTGTGGGTTTTTTGGCAAAAAAATGTGGGTTTTATTTTTTTTTTTTTTTTTGGCAATTTTTTTTACATATATAATTTTAAAAATAGTTTTTGATTTACAATCCAAACAATAAACAAATAGATTGTTTTAATTAAAATGTATGTGTACTTCATTGATTGTTTTTTTTTTTATGCAAAAAAAAAAAAAAAAAAAAAAAATTAAAAAAAATTTTTTAAAAATTTTGTTTTTATAATTTTTTTTTTTTTTTTTTTTTTCGTTTTTTTATTTTTTTTTAAACATTATTATATTTATATATATTAAAGAAAATGAATTTTTTAAATAAATACAGTTCTTTAAAAAGATCATTTTCAACTTTTAACACATCAAGAGTTGTTTTAAGATCAAATGCATTAAATAATAAAAGATATTTTTCAACTGAGGAAACAAGAGGTGATGAAGATATCCTCGAAGATATGAATATTAAAGGAGGAAGAAATTTAATTTTAGAGTAAGACTTCAACACAAACAATACAGATTAAAATCAAAATAAATTATCATTATCATAATCAAAATAAATTATCACAATCATAATCATAATCATGATCATAATCATAATCATAATCATAATCAATTTAATATAGATAAGGAAATAGAAAATGAAAATATTAATATTTTTATTTTATTATAGAAAAAATATTGAAGAAATTTCAAAAAAAATTGCAGATTTTTATTCACCAAGAGTTGAAACTATTTCATTAGAATCAGTTGAAAGCAAACAAGTTTCACCACTCGATAAATGTATTTCATTAAATAATAAAGCTACAGAATTAATTTCTCAAGGTAAACTTCTCGATGCACAATCAGTTTTAATTAGCGGTATTTCACTTTATGAACGTAAATGTTTTGATACTCTTGGTGAAAATGGTATTAAATCAAAACAACTCTATGGTTATTTACTTTCAAATCTTGGTTATGTTTATCACATCGAATCTAAATTCACCGATGCCATCAAATCATATACCAAATCATTAATTTATTTAGAAGGAAACCAAGATCAAGCATTCTATGCCCACACTCTTTTACTTTTATCCGAACTTTTCTCTTTACTTGGTGATAATAAAAAAGCACTCGAATCATGTAAATTATCAATCAAAATTTTCGAAACGTAAGAATCAAATCTTTTTATTATTTGTTGGTTACAAAAGTATTAATATTAACATTTATCAATTTATAATAAAAATCATTAATAATACAGTTTAGATAAAAAAATTTTAGATGAAAGATATTATTTCGCATTATTAAATTTATCAAGTTATCTTTCAATTGAAAAGAAATATGAAGAAGCTTTACCATTATGCAAAAAAGCATTTGAACAATTAGAAATAACTTTAGGTAGAAACAATGATATAGTTCAATCTGCAGCAACCAATCTTTCAAAACTCTATAATAAATTAAAAATGACTACTGAATCTGAACAATTAGATTCACTTTTCGTTAACCCATTAAAATCATCACTCCAATTTAAATTTAACCCACACTCAGATTTATCACATATCGATATGTCAGCGTAAGTATTGGAAACCAAAATATACCCACTAACAGGAAAAAGAATAGATATTAATATTTTTATTTTTTATCATCATTCCAGATTAAGAAAACAATGGACTGAACAAGGTCATCAAAAAATTTTCGATATTGATGGTTTTTATAAATCATCTGCAACCTCCAAAAAAGAATTTAAATCATTCATTAAACAATTAGAAAGCCAAGGTGTTAAAATTGGTCCAGAAGCTGAATCAATCATTAGACCTGAATTAGAATCTATTTCATATTCACCAGATGTCACCAAACAATGGGAACCAAAAACTTATAAAATCACCAAAGAAGAATAAAAAACAAAATTTAAATAACAAATAAAATAAAATAAAATAATATATAATATTTTTTAAAAAAAAAAGTTAAGAAATAATTTATGGATAAAAGAAATATTTTTTAAAAAAAAAAAAAAGGAAAATTATTAAATGATATTTTATAAAGTTTTAGTTTTTATTTAATTTGATTTTAATTTTTTAGAATTTAATAAATTATTTCTTTCTTCAGCTTTTCTTTTAATATTTAATGCCATTTCACTTAAATTGCTCTTTGCAGCTTCTGATGCTGATGAACCTGTATTATTATTATTAATTTGTTTAGTTTTATTTCTTCTTTCTAAAATTTCTTTTTCTTGTTTTTCTTTTTCTGATTTACGAATGGTATTCTTTTCATTGAGGATTTCTACCATAGCTGATGTTCTAAGGAATTTTGGATCGGTTGGATCGAGACCAAAGTTATTATCTTTGTAAATTTGACCGAATCTAGGATCTTTAACATCGATTTTGAATCCATCAGCTTCATCATCAATGTTTTTGTTTTCTTTGACTTCTAATTTTTCGTTCTTTTTCTTTAATTTCTTTTCGAGTTTCTTCTTTTGGTGTGGATCGAGTGTGTTTAATTTAGCTTCTTTTTCTAATTTCTTTTTGGAGAAACCTCTCTTCTTTTCACCGTCATCATTCATAAGTAAGAGTTCAAGTTCGGCTTGTTCCTTCTTTTCCTCTTCGGTGAGTCTACCTTTAGATTTATTCTTCTTTTGTTGTTTATCTTTTTCTTCTTTTTCTTTAATAATTTGTGAAACTTCCTCTCTTCTTTCTCTCTTCTTTTGTTGTTTCTTTTCTTTTTTCTTTTGTAAATAATCGGTAAATACTGTGCCATTTTCTCTTTGTTCTTTTTCTTTGAGTAATTTTTTACCTAAACCACTTAAATTTGTATTAATAACCATTTCTTTAACATCATCTTCCTCTTCGTCATCTGATTTCAAATCTTTAGCCCAATCTGGTACTTCATCATCATCATTTAATGAATTGTTTTTAACAAATCCTTTGGTATCGCCGTTGATATTATGTGGGATATCTTCTTCATCATCTTCGCTATCGGATGATTCATCATCTGCCTCTGAGTCTGATTCACTTCCAACAACCAATTCGCCCTCTTGGTCACCTTCTTCGCTTGATGAATCTTGAGTATTTTCATCTCCATCGAATTTGACAGTAAAATCTTCATCATCATCATCATCTGAATTTGAGTTTTTATCTTTAACATCTGAAAAAGCTGAACTGAATGTAATTTGAACATCATCCTTTTCTTTTGCTTCCAACATATCTGTATCTAATAATAATGATTTATATTTATTTCTAAGCTTTAAACGTTTGGCAGTTTGATCAGTTTCGCTATCATCAGACTCGTCTTCGGAGCTAGTTGGTTCAGCTAAATAAGCTCTCAAATCCTCTTCTCTTGCATCATCTTTTGAATAGTTCTTTGTTAATAATTTCTTTCTGCTCTTGTCGACATCCCAAGTGAAATCTACAGTAGTACCTTTAAGAACTGAGGTGGAGAAACCAAAACCTTTAGTTGAAGCTGGTAAAGTATCACATGAATCTCTTGGTGGATTTTTAAATTCTTGGTCATCTGGAACAAATCTTAAATCTAATACATTAGCGGTATCTTCAATTTCCATACCTTCACATTCTTCATAGATTTTATTGGCAGTTTCTACAGAGCTACACTTTACGATAGCATAGTAGTATTTTAATTTTGATAACTCGTATTGTCTTAATTTCTCTAAATTGAAACCTTTACCATCTAAAGATTCGGCATCTTCAACCTTGTCATAAGATAAGGTTGATTCGTCCATCATTGCTTGATCTTTATCTCTGCTCCAAATTTCTTTTGATGGACCTGATGACTTTTCCTTTGCCATTTGTTCTAAACCATAATCTGATGGATAAACTGTAATTCTTTCAATGTGTCCACCTGGTGGTACGAATGAATTTAATAATACGAATAAATCTTTTGAATCAATATTATCCCAATCACAATTTAAAACAGCGAATCTTTTAGTTGCATCACCTCTTGGAATATCGTCATCTTCCTGTTGTCCCAACTCACCTTCACTTTCAGACTCGATATCATCACCTTCAAACTCTTCTGCGTCACTACTTTCTGTATCTGAATTATATTCAAAACCACCATATTCTACAACCTTACTTTTATCTGAATCTACATTTGAATTTATAGAGTCATTATCTGAATCGTTAATTTCAATATCTGAATCTTCATCTTCTTCCTCTTCAACTTGTTTTGGTTGTTGTTTTTTATTTTTTTGTTCTTGTTTTGGTTGTGATTGGGGTTTCTTTTTATCTTCTTTTTGTTCTTGTTGTGGTTGATTTTGTTCAAGTATAAAATTTTTTGAAATAGTTTTATTAATTTTAGTTTTATCAACCTTTCTACCATATTCATCAATTGGAGCTGTATTTTTATAAATAAATGATATAAATTAATAAACATTCTTTTTTTTTTTTTTTTTTTTTTTTTAAATTAATATGACACATACCACTATCTGTAAATTTATTTGTTAATATTTTTTTGAATCTTTCATCAAGTTTAATTGACATATCTTTCTTTCTATACATTTGGAATTTTGGTTCAGATTGGGCATGTGTAAAACGTTTATCTGTAATAACACCATTATTGTTCTTTGGTGCTGCTTTATTACCACCAGTAGATGGTGCTGATGGTTTTTTGTTATTTGTTGGTTTTTTATTCATATTTAAAAATATTTATAACTATGAATATTACAAAATACAATTAAGATACAATAAAAAAAATAAAAAAATTAATAATCGTTTTTTTTTCGTTTTTTAAAATTTTTTTTATTTTTAAAATATTTTTTTTTTTTATTTTTATTTTTATTTTTTTTTTATTTATTTTATATTATTAGTTTTTGTATTTCGTTTTAAGAATTATTAAAGATAATTATTATTTTTTTTTTTTGATTTTATACCATTTTTTCTAAATCTTCAATAAACTTTTTACCAATACGGATAAACTTTTCATATGATTCGTTAGTTTTTTTATAATCATCGCAAACTATAAAAATGCAATCTTGATTTGCGTTTGATATCACATATAAAGTGCTAGAGTCATCATCTGATTTACACCAAAATGTAAAGTTTTTTCTATCTATATTTTCTTCTTTGATATCGAATGTTATCCCATTTACAAACATACATCTTTCTTTACTTTCACCATTTAATATGTCTTTAATAAATTCTGATTCTGATAATTGCATTTTAAAATGTGGTGAATGTAGTTTATAATCATCTCCTGTTTATTATATTATTAATATCTTTTTCTTTTTTTTTTTTTATTTTTTTATTATTATTATAAATACCTTTTATACAACCAAAACTAGAATATGTTTCATATGTAATAATTAAATTTTTTTCATCAAAATGGGTTTTGTGCTCAACTTTATTTTGTGCCATTTGACCGTTACTAGTTGTTTGATTTTTCATTATTTTATGTTTATATAATTAATTTGTTTTATTTGTTTTATAAATTATAAAAATTAAGTTATTTATTTATTTGTTTATTTATTACAAAAAAAATTAATAAAATTTAAAATTGAAATTAAAAATTAAAATTTTATTAAAATTTAAAAAAAAAAAAAAAAAAAAAAAAATTAAATTAAATATTAAAAATAATAATAATTGTAAATTTCGTTGTAATAGTGTGTGTGGTATAATGATTTAAATTAATTAAATATGGAAATAAAATAAAAAAATAATAATTAAATTTATTAGTAAATATCAAAAAGTACTCTTTCGATAGATATTTTAAAGGAAAGGAATAGAAAAATACAAATTATACATATATAGATATAACCATAAAAAAAAAAAAACAAACAAATAAATAAAATAAAAATAAATATAAAAAAATAAAAATTTTATTATATTTTTATAAAATTTTAATTTATTATTTTGAAATTTAAAAAAAAAAAAAAAAATGTGTATATCAAAAATTAAAAATAACTATTTGTGGTAATATATAATTTAGGAATTTTACATTTTAAAAAAAATTATAAAAAAATTAAAATTAAATTAAATTGTTTTTTTTCATTTAAATAATTTTTATAGTAAATGGGTACGGTGGGCCATGATGAATATTCAAACGAAAATTAATAATTGGTATTGGAATATTTGGAATTCAAATCTATAAAAACCTTGCCTGGGTAATGGAAATTAATTTTCTTGTTCCTTGATTCGAATCCGAGCTAAAAAACTCAAAATTGTTTAAAAATATCTTTTTCGAACCCGGTTTACTGAAAAGTTTTTTTTTAGTCGCCCATATCTGTTTTTTTTAAAATTTTATTTTTTATATTTTTTATTCAAAAAAATTTAAAATTTTTATTATTTAAAAAATGTTTTATTTTTTTAGAAAGCAATCAGCCATATTGAAATAATAAAAAGATGAAGTTATTATTATCTTTAATTTTAATTTTAACAATAGTTTCAAATTTTTGTTTTGCCGATATTTCAAATCAATATGTAAACTTTGAAGTTTTTAGCGACCCACAATGCTTAGTTTCCAATTCTAGCTATGGCGTAGGTTTTACATTTGCCGCCAATACATGTGTTACCGACGATTATACCTCCAATCATCTCTTTACCGTTAAAGGCAACACTGTTACTGGTCAAGATTTCCAAAGTCAAGGTGCTGAATTATGCACCACCCCATTAAACCCACCATACACCTATAAGGTCAATTCATGTGTCGAACCAGGAAATTTTGTTACCGATATCGATAAATGGATCGAAGCTCCATACAAGCCATTTTATTATAAAGTTACAGTTTCATCAGTTCCAATTATTCAAACCAATTCTATGGCACTTGTTTATATGGATCAAGAATGTAATTTAGATTATGTTATTTATGCTAAATATTATATGAATGGAACTATTGTTAAATTCCATAATCAAGACTATATGTACTTTTGTGATGGCGATACACCAATGAGTGGATATTGTCCAGGTACATCAGGAACCTGCAACTCACCAACCTATTCTAATTATGTTGCTACTTGTGAATCTTATGCTCCATTCTACAACACCTCAACTGAACTCACAGGTTGCCAAGGCAGCACTTGTTCTGGTGGTTTTAGTGGTTTTAGTTCCTCTGGTGCCATCTCTGCTTCAAGTGATAATACTGGTACAGGTTCAGCTTCAGGTGGTCAAAGCCGTGATCCAATCGTTACTTTTAATGGTGAATCCCGTGGTTCATCCCCAGCAGGCTCTGGTAGTAGTATTTTTTCTGGCTCTTACTCAACTATTTGTTTCTAAATACATCTTTATTTTATTTATAATACTTTTTTTTAAATAAAATCAATAAATAATTTTTTTTTATATCAAAAAAAAATTATATCTCAACATTTAGTAATATTATTAATAAAAAAAATAACAATCTAATATATTTTAAAAAATTAAAAATAATTAATGGTAATATTTCAAATCTCATTTATTTTTTAGAAAAACTTTCAAATCATAAACAAAATGAAAAACTTAAGGGGTAACAAAATTGGGATTTTATATAAAAAATATTTTTTATTTTTTATTTTATGTTTTAAGTTCTATACTTTTTTTTTTTTTTTTTTATATTTTTTTCATTTTTTTTTTTATATTTTTTTTAAATTTTTATTTTTAATTTTTATTTTTTTAATTTTTTTTAATTTTATCTCTTTATTTTTTTATAGACACACACCAATTAATCTAAAATTTAAAATCAAATGAAAAACAAAATTTTTCAAATTTAAAAAAAAAAAATAAATTTTTTTTTATTAGAAAAAAAAAAAAAAAGGGGGGGGGGGGGGGGGGTCCGGGTTTAAAAAAAAAAAAAAAAAAAAAAAAAAAAAAAAAAAAACATTGAAATAAGTTTTTTTTTTGTAAATTTTTTATCGCAAAGTTTTTTTTACAAAATTTTTTAATCATCTTTGTAAATACACGAAAATATTTTCGTCTAATTTAATTGCCTTTTACAAAGCCACTTACTCTCTCAAAAATTTTTTTTTGGTTTTAAAAAATAATAAATAAAATAATTTGAATAATAAAATAAAAGTGAGCTATGAAATCGGAATCATCAAAAGTGTTCAATGGTAATGGTTGTAATGAATTAGCAATACACGATACATACACGGAAGAATACAAAGAATTTATAAAAACGTTAAAAAATGATTGGGAAGATATACAATTTATTGCTAAAGGTAGTTTTGGTCTTATAGTTAAAGCAAAAAAGAAAAATGGTATTTTAAATGGTATAAAATTGGGCGATAGTTATTGTATTATAAAAAGAAAGAAAAGGGACCCAAATGTAGTATAAATTTATTAAATAAACAATACATAAAAAAAAAAAAGAAATCCTAATACAGTTAATTTTTAATATTTAGTTAATATTCGATAATGAAAGTGATATCTTAAAGACAATATTGTCTTTAAAAAGCAAACTATTGTTGAAATATTATTATCACGAAATTAAAGCTGAATATGTGTATATATACACAGAATATTTTGAGGGCCAAACCATTGGCTTATATGTCAAAGAAAATAATAGAATCAAAGAAGAAGAAAATATTATATTTATTACATGGAGCATACTTAGAGCATTAGAGCTATTACATCGAAATTGTATAATGCACAGAGATATAAGTCCCAACAATATTTTGGTGTCTAAAGACTTTAAAGAGATCAAATTAATAGATTTTGGCCATTCAATAGCACTTTTAACCGGTTCAAAGAGTCTTCATCATGGGGGTTTAACTGGAACTTTAGGCTTTATTGCACCCGAAATTATATATGAGAACAATCATCCAGGAAGGGGGTCAGATATATGGAGTTTGGGTGCAATGGTACTATTTATGTATGGTTATATACTTCCAAAAAGTGGTGAGTTAATAATTCCACAAGACATACCCCAAAATATCCAATCCTTTCTTAAAGATTCTTTAAAGAAACGTTATAATGAAAGAGCAACTGCTATAAATCTTTTACAAAATGGTCTCTTTTCAAATTTAAATCAAGAACATCAACAAAATCAACAAAATTTAGAATTAAATGATAGAGAAATTATAATTTATACCGATAAAAATAATTGTTATAATAGTAATTGTAATAATAGTTCGTCCTCAACATCTTCTTCATCATTAACAGACAAAGAATTATTATCAAATAATAAAAGCAAATATGGTTATGGATCATTTGACCCTTTTGTAAATGAAGGTAAACCAAAGTATTCAAATTTAATCAAAAGGTTTTTATTTAAAAAAGGTCAATTTTTAAAAACATTCAATATTACCGCAATAGCAATGATGTTTTTTATTATTGTTTCAGCAATATTATTACCAGTCATGTTAACCAAATATTTAAAGAGTGATACCGAAATAAGCGAATATAAATTCAACTTATATCAATACAATCAATATATGGAAGAAGGAAAAAAGAACATTGGTCTCGGTCAATTTAATGATGCAAAGGTTAGCTACGAAAGGGCATTAAATGTTTCGAAACTGCTTGATAAAGACCAATATATACTAGACTCGTACAAAGGAATCTTTGATAGTGTTTACTCTGGTGGTAATTATAACGAAGCTTTGGTTATAGCGGAAAGTTACATTGCAGTTTCACCAACCTCAATCACAGCTCAACTTCAATATCACCAAATGAGGGGTATGGTATTCTTCAATACAGGCAAATTGCAACCATGCATTGATGAAAGACTGCTTGTAGTAAAATACACAAAACAAATCTATCAAAACAATTCAAATCAAGAGGCATATTCCCAGGTTGGGGTCGGCACATGCTATGCAGAGCATGGGAGGTATCAAGATGCTATCAAGTATTACACAATTGCATTCAACATTTACCAAACCATGAATAGCACATATCGTGACAAATACTATTATGCTGCCTCACTTTTCCATTTGGGCTATTCATACTTTCACAGCGAAAATCTTACCAACTATATGGAGGAGTCATTCAAATATTTTAACCAAAGCTATATAGTGGGTTTAGAGCTTTACAAAGAAGACTCTGATAAATATTATATATTTTTAACAGATAGACAAAATTATTTGGGTAGATGGTATATTCAAAAAGGGGACCCAGCTTCATTAGATTTAGGTTTCAAATTTTTAAAACAAAGCGAATCAATACTAAGAGAAAAAAGCAAATTTAAAATACCAGAGATGGCTGAAACACTTTATTTGCTAGGTCAAATCGAAAGACTAAGATCAAACTATGAAAGAGCTCTCGAATATCAACACGATGTTTTATCAATAAGAGTGGAACTTTACACCCCTACAGGTAACATTTTGCGTCCAAGTATTGCTGAAGCCTGTTTAGAAATTGGCCAGGATCTAGTACATGTTGGTAATTGTACTGATGTTGTGTATTGCATGGAAAGAGCTAAACAAATTTATGATACATTTGACAATGACTCATTAATCAAAAATCAACTATCAATAATTAATAGTACAATTTCCTACTGCGAAAGTATTTCAACAAAAAAATCTTTTTTAAAAGCTATTGTAGCAAATGTAAATTGTAAATTGTAAAAATAAAAATATGTTTAAAAAATTTATTATTATTTTTTTTGTTGTTTGTTTTAATATACATATGCTTTTTCATTGTAATTATCATAGTGGCGACTAAAGAGTAGTTGTTTAATTGATGATGGTAAAAAACATTGGTCAAGAAGTGGTTTTAAACTATAATCTAGGATTAGTTCTTCCACTGAGGATGGTATATCGCCCTCTTTAAGTATTTGATTGAAACAATGACCTAGCTCTAATGATCGGAGTGATTTTGGTAAAACTCCTTCGCTAAATGTTTGATTGAAACTAAACCCAAATTTTAATCTCTTGACTGAAGGTGGAATATCTCCTTTGCAAAGTGGTTGGTTAAAGTGATAGCCGAATACCAGAGTTTCTAAAGATAGGGCAATAGATGGCGATATAACTGTTGCTTTAAATGGATAATTAAAGCTGAGACCTAGTGTTAACATTTTGAGTGATGGTGGTAAATGGCCTTCTTTAATTTCTTGATTGAAACTACTGCCAAATTTTAATATTTCAAGTGAAGGAGGCAAAAGACCAGGTTTAAGTGGGTTATTGTAGAGCTCCCCAAACTCCAAGATTTTAACTGATGGTGGTATTACATCGGTCCCAATCTCATGAATAAAACCAAAACCAAATTTTAGTTTCCTTACTGATGGTGGTATCATACCCGGTTTAAGATGTTGATTGAAGTAAGTTCCAAAACTTAAAAATTCAATTGTATCTGTTAAGTCATATTCATCTAATCTATCTTTGAACTCCAAGGTTACATCTACTAAATATCTACTTTTTTTTGTTTGAATAAAATCATCTTTAGAATAAAATATAACACTATTAACAAAATAATATTTGAAATGTTTAGTTATTTGTTTTCTTATATATACATTTCTCCAAACTAAAAAAAATAGATGATCCATTTATTATTGAAATTAATTATAATTTAATATTTAAGTTATTTTTTTAAAAATAAAAATTAACCACAAAAAAAAAAAAATTTCTTTTTTATTATTAAATTATTAAAAAAAAAATAAAAAAAAAAAAATATATTTTTTATTTTTTTATTTAAATTAATTTTATTATTTTTAAGTGCTTGTTTGTGGTATGTTTTCAATAATTTATTTATAAGTAAAATGGTTGTAGAATACGTTTATTAAATGTTTGGGATAAGTTTTTTGTAAGGATTTTCATATAAAAATTTGAAAAATTTTTTTTTTGAAAATGCAATTTTTTTAAACAACCTTTTTGCATTAATGGTTTTGCCAATAAAGTGAATATAGACTTGATCACCATTGAATAGAAAGTTTGTTTATAATTTTTCTGATACCGTTATATGTTGTTAGTTTTATAGTTTAATTAATTTCATTTTCAAAACTATTGATTGTTTCTTTTGTTTAGCATTGGGATTTATTGAACAGTTATACTTCTTCATATTTTCTAATTTATTTATTTATTATTTCTAACAATGGTTTTAAATGAACAAATAGCTCTATTGGTTTTGGTTTATTATAATTTGTTTTTTATAAAAACATTGTTGTATAAAAATACAATTAATAAAAATGATGTGGGTGAAATAATAAAAAATAGAAATTTTTTTTTTTTTTTTTTTTTTTTTAAATTTATTATTATCATAAAACACAAATTAATTATATAATTAAATAAAATATATACATAAATGGGTTTTTTGGTTTTAAAACTTTCCCATGAAAAGTAATACGATAGCATCATCGCACAACTTGCTACATAAAAATTTCTCTTGGGCTTTGGAAAAAAAATTAAAATAATTAATTTTTTAATTTTTTAATTTTTTAAATTTTTTTCAAAATAACTCGCCAATATAAAAAGTCGTAAAATTCATAAATAAAGATCATTGACGAAATAAGTTTTTGCACACTGGTCTTATTTAAAGGTATTATTTATTGTTTGTTTGTTTGTTTTGGTTTTTCCAAAAGCAATTGTTGGACAAACACAATCAATGAATGACATGGCCGCAGTAACATTGTTGAAGCGTTAAAGAATGCTACATCAATCACCCATTTCAAATCACTATTTAATAATATTTGTGAAGAGTCGAACATCCCAAAGAGCTTATTCTCCATAATGCGTAGCCATTGTGTCAACCCGGACACATACAATAACTTGTTACACACCTACAACGAATTTGAATTAAATCGTCACCTTCGATTTGGAAATTTAAACGTTCAGATTCGTTGTAAGTGTGTAACAGATTATTGTATGTGTCCGGGTTAACACAACGGTTATGCATTATAAAATAAAGTTCTTCACAGATAACAACAAGCACTGAAGTTAACTTTACCAAGAACGGTGGTACTAAAGTACTTAACTAAGTATTAAATGGAAATTTAATCTTTAGATATAAAAATAAAGTTTGCCTAATGTGTGGACAAAAACACTACATAAACAAGTCTACTAATGGGTTAAACAACAGCAAAGTTTCTATTTCCACAGAAAATATAAAAAAATTTAAAAGCTGACTACCAAGTCAAGAATTATCTACAGATAATATCTTCTTAAATATATAAATAAAATAAAAAATATTCGTTCACTATCCTTTCACCTCATATATTGAAGATTACGATTCAAATGACAGTATTTTTAAAAATAAGTTATTTTTTATATTTGTCTTTTTATTTTTTCTTATTTTTTTATTTATTTTTTTTTATTTTCCATATAAAAAAAGTAGGTCAAATCTTTACTTAGAGATATTTAATTAATTAATGTCAATCAATAGAATTTGCAGAATGGGGCACCTTTTATTAGCTATGTTATTATCCACCAGCAGTTATGGAAGATCAACGCAATACGCTTATAGCTCGGGTTAATATTCATTTCAGACTGTGTCCAAATCGTTTGATGCAGGAGAATGTTATGGGGGAAAAAGCAATTTATTATTATGTACCAAAAAAAATATTCCATGCACAAGAACAATTTTTAAATTCGGAAATTGTTAGTGTTTGTTCTGATCAATATTATTTCTCATCGTTGGTATGGAATATTCAGACTCCTTGGGAAAGTGTGTTCATAAACATACCTATAATTTTACTTGGTTTCAAATATAGATTCGATGGTATTCAGCTTCCTTGGTTTAATAATTACCGAATTAGTTCCTGTTATTTCCATTTTTTATTGTTTTAACCCAAAATCAATTAAAAAACCAAGAATACAAAATGAAAAAGTAAAAGATTTAAATAATATCAAAATTAAAAAAAGAAAAGGAATAATTTAGTTAATAATCAAACTTCAAATGATTGTTAAGCAAACTTTTGAAATTAAAAAATAAAATAAAATAAAATAAAATAAAATAAAATAAAATAAAATAAAATAAAATTAAATTAAATAAAATAAAATATTAATCAAACATTGTTGATTTGCTTTTGAAAAAAAAAAAAAAAAAAAAGGAAAAGTGTGGGGAAGTGTGTGAAACAGAGTGTTTTTTTTTTTTAAATTGTGTGGTGTGGTGGGCAGGAAAATAAATAAGCGATAAAAATAACAAAAAAAAAAAAACCAATATTTTTGGCACCGAGCAAATTATAATAATAATAATAATAATCAAAATATTATCAAAAAAAAAAAAAAAATAGATATTTTGGTTATTTTTAAAAAAAATTTAAAAATAAAAAAATTTAAAAATAAAAAAAATTTGTGAATAATCAAAAAGCAAATCTGATTAAAATTATGATAATCATTTTATAACGGTTTATTTAAACTTGTTGATATTAAATTTGTATGGACCACACAATGAAAAAAAAACTTTAAAAAAAAATAATCAAAATTGCATGATTAATATCTTCAAATTTTAAAAAAAAATACACTGTGGTAAAATTTATTTTTAAAATAAATTTTTTTCCTTTTTTTTTTTTTTTTTTTTTTTTTTTTTTTTCTTTTATTATTTTATTTATAAATATTTGTATTATTATAGTTTTTCTTTGTAATACTATTTTTTTTTTTAAAATTAATTTATTTATATATAAAATTTTTATTTATTTCATATAAAATAATAAAAATAATAAATTAGTTTTTCAAAATATATTTCTTTATATTGTATATTCAAAATATTGTAACATAAAATTTTTAAAATGGCCGATTCATTATCTATTGAAATGAATGACCAGTCATCATCCACCACATTAGGTGGAGGTAAATTGGTAAAATCAAAATCACAAATGAGTTTAAGAAGATCTTTAACAATTTCATTCAAAGATCTTTCTTATTCAGTTATGGTAAAAAAGAAGAAGATGCAAATTCTCAAAGGTGTAAGGTAAGTAAATTTAATTTACATATAAAAAAAAAAAAAAAAAAAGGTTTATTAATATTTATTTTTAATTTATAAATTAGTGGTACAGTAACACCAGGGGAATTAGTAGCAGTATTTGGCCCATCAGGTAAATATTTAATAAATTAATTTTTTCTTTTTTTTTTATTTTTATTTTTTTTTTAATATTAATATTTATTTATAAAATTTTAAAGGTAGTGGTAAAACTACATTATTAGATATTTTGGCAAATAGAAAGGAAAGTGGAGAAATTACAGGTTCGGTTTTAATTAATGGCCAAGAGATTGATGATGATTATAAGAGACTTTGCAGTTATGTAGTACAAGAGGATATCTTATTACCAACCATCACCGTTCGTGAAACTCTTAGATTTTATGCAGATTTAAAGTTACCACCAAGTTGGACCAATAAAGAAAAAGTTGAAAGAATTGATCAAATTCTAGAACAAATCGGTTTAAAACATAGAGCTGATTCAAAGATTGGTGGTATTTTGCCAGGTGGTATTATTTTAAGAGGTTTGTCTGGTGGTGAGAAGCGTAGAGTTACTATTGGTTGCGGTTTGATTACAAGTCCTTCTATTATCTTGTTAGATGAACCAACTAGTGGGTTAGATTCATCATCTGCCAAAACTGTAATGGACACATTACAAGAGTTAAGTCAAACTAAGAATGTCACTGTAATTTGTACAATTCATCAACCACGTAGTGAGATCTTTAAGATGTTTACTAAATGTATGGTTCTTACCGAGGGTCGTTTAGTGTACTACGGTAATAAACCAGTGGAGCATTTTTCATCATTAGGCTACCCATTCCCAGACCTAACCAATCCAGCAGATTATATTTTAGATAGTGTCACCCAAATCAAAGAGGAAGGCAGAGCAGATGAAATCGGTGATAAACTTAGCGAGACCTATTTGCAACAAGCAAGTTCCGAAGCCTCCGTTCAATTGACTGATTCGACACTACTCTATCACACATCAACAAAGAAAAAGAAGATCTCTGCCTATAACAATGGACTATGGACCCAATTTATCGTTTTGTGGAAAAGAACAGGTTTGGATTTTATGCGTAATCCTAGTAATTGTTTAATTCGTTTTGCAGTTGCCATATTTGTAGGTTTATTATTTGGAGCATGCTTTGCAAACTTGGGATTGGACGAAAAAGGTGTTCAAAGTCGTGCTGCAGTTCTCTTTTATTTGGTTATCAATATGATTCTTCAACCATTCGCCTCCCTTAGTCTTTTCATTTCTAAACGTACTTTATTCAACGCTGAGAGGGCATCACGTCTCTACCACACTTTTCCATATTATTGCGCAATGATGTTTTTCGAAATTTTGGCATGTATCGGTACTGCATTCATTTTGGGTACAATTTCATATTGGTTCAGTGACTTAAACAATGGAGTTGATAACTATTTCTTTGCAATGTGCATTTTAACATTGGCCCATTTTGCTGGTGACTTCTTTATGTTATTCATCTCTTGTATAACCGTTCAAGTAGATACCTCGTTTGCAGTTGGTGCCGGTGTTGCTACAATCTATCAATTATTTGCTGGTTTCTTTGTTCATATCGATAAATTACCAATTTCTTTCCGTTGGTTACACTGGTGCAATTTTGTATACTACTCTTTTGAAGCTTTAATGGCAAATGAATTTATTGGTGAAACTATTATCATAAATGGTAAGGAGGAATCTGGTAGAATTGTTTTAGACCAATTTGGTTTAAATCAAAGAAAAGGTATTAACTTAATTATTGTTTCCTCATTTGCCATTCTTTTCTTCTTTATGGTTTATTTCGTTTTACATTATTTCCACAGAGAAAAGAGATAAATAAACAAATAAATAAATAAATAAATAAATAAATAAATTACACAAAAATGGAAAAAAAATATTAAAAATAAAAATATTAAAAAAATAAAAATAAAAATAAATAAATAAATACACACACCCTATTTGAATTTATTATTTTGGTATGTTTTATCTATATTAAAAAAAAAATTATTTGAAATTTCGCCAAACTAAGGTTTGTTTATTATAAAAATCTAAACATATGCTTTATCATAGTATTTATACAAGATATGCAGAGATGATAAAAATAATTTTATGAAAAAAAAAAAATTAAAAAATTTTTTTTTTTTTTTAATTTTTATTTTTTAAATATTTTTATCAGTTTTTTTTTTTCTTCTATTTTTTATTTTCTTTCTTTTCTTTGTTTTTGTGTTATAGTATTTATATTTGTAATTTTATTTACCAATCTACGATTCTAGAATAATTAAAACAATTTAATAGTTTTTGGGAAAAAAAAAAAAAAAGTAAAAAAACAGTAAAAACCATTATCATTCACGATTGTTATAACATTCATCGTAATAAAATAAAAAAAATAACTCATCATCAATACTCTACTTAAAATGAAAATCAATATATCATTAAATATATAATGTTTTTTTTCTAAAAATAGAAAGGGCATTAGAATAGCAATATCCCACTAGAAATAACTAATACCAATTAATATTGTTCTCCTTATTTCACAACACATAGCACATAACATTACACCCACCAAAACTACCTCACACATACACACTTTTATCAATTATTTACAATAAAACTCTTGCACATAATAATACCACACACACCCAAAATAAATAAATATAATTATTTAAAAAATAATAAAATTTTAAAAATAAAAAAATCATTATATACAAACTTTACATATAAATAAATAAATAATAAATAAATAAATAAACTAATAATAAATAATATTTTTTAATTTCACTTAATCAAAAAAAGGAAATCAATAAAACTTATCACATTATATATTACTTATATACTATTTATATAAATAATTATATATTTTACTTATAAAAATATTCAGTATCTAGATTTACCAATACCCCCCCCAAAAAAAAAAAAAAAAAAAGCAATAAATTAATTAATTTGTTTAACAAAGCCCAAATTAAAAAACAATCATAATCATAATAATCATCAGCACACTAATTATAAAAACCACATAATAATAAATAGATAAATTTTAATTAATTAATCATCTTTACTAATATTATTATTTTTTATTTATTTAATTATTTTATTTATATTTATAAAATTTAATTTTATTAAACCATAGGTTTCTTTTTTTTTTTTTTTATGTATATAATAATAACAATATAATAGCTAAAAACAAAAAGGAATTGTTTGTTTAAAGAATTGTAGAATTGTAGTTGTATAGTATAAAAAATTAAAATATATTTCTCATGAGAAATATAAAATATAAAAAACTAAATAGAAATGGAAATATGTAAATATTATTTATTATATAATAATATCAAGAGGAATAAACTCAAATAATAAGATGTTAACTACCTACCCAAATTTAAATATAATATTTTAGCATCAAATAATAACAGTGGTAATAATGGAACCAATAATAGCGTCTCATCATTGAGACAGAAATTTGAAATCTTTTTAGCTAGAAACCAAGAAAAACAAAGTTATAGTAATAGAAATAAAAGTCCAACCATTAGTTCAAGTACAGGTATAATTAATGATAAAGGTAAATAATTAAAATAATCAAAAGTAAACATTAATAATTAAAAAATAGGAAACAACAAAAATAGTATACAATCTATATTAAATAGGCGGAAAAGACAAGATGTATTTATTTTAAAAGAAAAAATTATTATAATTATATTTTTAAATATTCGTATAATTTAATAGATTGACGAATAAAATTTGTTTGTTTCCTTTTTGCAGTGCGCTGTTTATCAAAGTTTTATTATTTTCTAAATTTATCATTTGTATTATTTTTAAATTCAATTGGTTATAATAATTATTTATTAATACAGAAATATAATAATAGTTTATATTTTGTGTGGTGTTTTTAAAATAAAAATATTTTTATTACCATTCGAATACATTATTGTTTAATAATACTATTACTACTACCATCATCATTTTATTATCATCTCACTTATTTTCAACATCATTATATTGAAAATCATTAAACATCGTATCTTTATCTTTTTTGTTTGTGCCTTTAATTTTTTTAAAAGACAACACATCACTAATAAAACCACATCACCCACACTCCTCATCAAAAAATAATAACAATAATCAAATTACTAAATTACCACACATTATATGTGGGGGTGCTAGTTATAAAAAAAAAGTATAATATTATAGGGTTGTTAAAAAAATCTTAAAACAAAAAATTTTAATTTAAAAAAAGAATTATTTTAATTTACAAAATGTTAGATATGTAACAATCAAAAAAAAATTTTTTATTAGACATCTTATCAACATCAAACATAAACACATAAAATTTTTAGAAATTGATTTTTTTTATTATTTTAATCATCCCACCCACATATACAACACACAAACCCAAACACATCATTCATATAAGTTTTATAAGACCAATTGTTTTTTTTATTTTTAATTTTTTTTTAAAATAATAAAATTTTATTTTTTTTTTTAAAATTATTTTTTTTTTTTTTTTTTATTTTTATATCAAAGCTATTATAATAAATTTTTAAAAAATTTTTTTAATTTTTTTTTTTTTTGAAAAATAACCACACCACAATTTTTTTTTTTTTTTCCTTCCTTCATATACTGATCGAATAACAATAATTTTCTCATTAGAATAATATAATTTTTATAATTTGTTTTTGTTTTTATAAAATATATATATAATTTTATATATATATATATAATTTTTGTTTTATATATTATTTATTTTATATAATATTTTATTAAATTTAATAAAAATTTTTTAAATATATTGTATATTGTGTATCACTAAAAAAACAATAATAGCATACTGTATTAGTAGTAGCATTAGTAATAATCATTAGTTAAATTAATTGTAGTATGTAGTATTAAATAATAACTTTTTTATTTTTTTATTTAATTTTATTTTATTAAAAAATTTTACACCCACACATACAACTACCTTTCTATTATCCTTATATTCCCACATAATCATGGATATTTATATATAATTTATCGATTATATGGAAACAATCACATTAAAACAAAAAGATCAAATCATTTCCCAACACAAAATAAATAATTTAATAATACCATACATTATTATATATAAAATCGCACACTTAAAAGATTTTAATAATAAAATTAAAAATAACTCTTTGCATTAGATTTCATTGGAAAAAGTTTATTTTTGTTGTGTTTTTATCACATAGAAACAAAAAACATTTAAATACACCTTTAAATATTAAATATATAAAAAATAAAATGAAAATAAAAAAATTTAAATTTAAATAAAAATTAAATAAAATTTTTATATTGTCGTTATTTTTCATTTTTTTTTTTGTTTATTTGTTTTTAAATTTTATTTTTTATGTATAACAAAAAAATTTAAACAAAATTTTTTTTTAAATATATACAAAATAAATCATAATATTAATAATTACTAATATATAATTTTTTTACTAAAGAAATTAAAAATAAATCATTGTCCTATTTTAAAGAATCAAATAGTAATAATAATAGTCAAAATAGAAGACCAACATCATTTTCAGCAGTTACACCCATTATACCAGGATCACCATTAGCTCCAAGATCAAATCAAAATCGTAACAATTATAATAAAAACATATCAGACAGTAATAGTGATTTAGCATCAAGCTATATTAAATTTGATTTAGAAAATACACCAGCAACTATAACAGCATCAGATTTAAAAAGAGAACGGGAACAATTATTTCGTAATAAACAGGAATTTACAATGGATTCAAATTTTGATGACGAGATAGTGTTTGATTATAAAAATTCATCATGGGCAGACAGACGTGAAAGATTTATCCATAAAGTTTTGACAAACCAGTTCGATGAATCGCAAATCAGAGATGAATTAAATAAAATGAGGGATATAGAAGTCGATAAAATTAGAGCCGAGGAAAGAAGAACCCCCTCAATGTCAATTGATGAATTGAAAGGTATGGAAATCGAAAGACTAAGAAAAAAGATTTACAACGAAGAGTTAACATTATTTAGAAAAGAAGAAATAGAAAGTATTGAACGTGAAGAAAGAATTAAAATTGAAAAAGAGTACGAGTCAAAATCAATTGTTTCCAGTCAAGAAAGAGAACACATTAAACAACAAGTTAAAAGAGATTTTGAAGAAAAACACGAAATTGCTTCACCACCATTCCCTGTACCAGCTATCAATCAAAGTAATGGTTCAATTAATTTATTGAGTATTAACCAACCAGTTTCTAATTTTTCAATCACCTCACTATCAGTTTCATCATCTTCAATAAATAATAAACATCTTTCAGGTAATCAAATGAATACCTCATCAGTTGACAGCGAAGATGAAGAAGAAATGGAAAGATTAGAACAATTAAGAAGACAAAAAGAGATTGAACGTTTAAGAGAAGAAGAAGAAGAAAATGAAGATAAAATCGAAAGAGAATTATCTCAACGTAGAAAAGAGGAAGAAGAAAGAATCAAAAGAGAAGAGGAGGAAGAGGAAGAGGACCAACGTAATTACTTAAGACGTCTCAAAGAGTTGGAAAGAATTAAGCAAATTGAAGAAGAGGAAGAAGAAGAGCGTGAGCGTCAACAACATCAACAAAAAAGTGGAAGCTCCAAACAACGTTCATCAACAACTGTATCATCAATTTCAACATCTTCATCAAATGCAAATACTGCTACCAAAGAGCAAAACCTTCTTAGTTTAATGGGATCAAATAATAATATTAATAATATCAATTCAAATGTTTTATCACATTCAATTGTCAATAGTAATAATAACTTATTACCACCACAACAAATTGATTCAAGATCACGTAGTCATACAATGGCAGCAGGCGATTCTCATCATCATAGTTCAGATAATACACCATTGACCTCATCTGCCGATGGCACTAAAATGTCAAGATCACACAGTGGTGGCTCATTACACGGTCTATCATTACCATCAGCTCCACCTGCCCCACAACACAATAACCTCTCAACTTCAAATAATAACAATTTAAAGAACTCTGTAACAACACCATCATCTATTTCACCATCACAAGCAGGTAATTCTGCAGTATCCACTGTACCATCATCACCAATCTCATCATCAGCTTCAATGTCTTCACCAACACTTGTAGTTTCACCACGTAAAGATGAGTTGGTCAATAGTGGTGGTGTACCAAGAAAAGGCTCAGTTTCAGAATCAACTGAACATAGCAAGAAAAAAACAAAAGAATCAGGTAGTAACAAACAAGATAAATCTGAAGAAAAAGAACAAAAAGAAAAGAAATCATTCTTTAATAAATTATTTAGCAAGGGTGATAAATCATCATCTTCATCAGATAGCGGCAGTAGCAATAGTAGCAGTGCTAATAAAGAAGATAAAAAAAAGAAGAAACTTTCACCACGTGTTGGCACACCATTCAACGTTCAACACGAAGTCCACGTTAACTTTAATGCAGATACTGGTTTTGAAGGTTTACCAAAAGAATGGGAAGTTTTAATTAAATCCAATTTCCAAGAACCAGAAGTTATGCAACATCCAGAAGAAGTATTAGATGTTGTTAAATTCCATGCTCAATATCAAGGTATGGCCAGCGCACCACCAATGGTTCAACCATCTATTCCATTAACTGATGAACCACCTGTAACATTAAATGATTTAATCTCTTTAGAAGATCCAAAGAAAATCTATTACAATATCAATAAGATTGGTGAGGGTGGTGCTGGTGAGGTATTTGAAGCCATCAACTCTCGTACAAATCAAACCATCGCAATCAAAAAGATGAAATTAAAGGCTCAAAATCTCAAGACTGTTATCAACGAAATCGGTATGATGAAAAATAGCAACCATGATAACATTGTACAATACATTGACAGTTATATTGTCGCCGATGAACTTTGGGTAGCTATGGAATATATGAGTGGTGGCTGTTTAACTGAAGTATTAGACCAATATCGTGATATTCAATTATCAGAACCACAAATCTCCTTTGTTTGTAATGAAGTATTAAAGGGTCTCCAATATATCCATCAACATAATCGTATTCATCGTGATATTAAATCCGATAATATTTTAATTGGTGCCAACGGTGAAATTAAATTGGCCGATTTTGGTTATGCTGCACAATTAACTCAAATTCGTCAAGAAAGAAACTCTGTTGTCGGTACACCATATTGGATGGCACCAGAATTAATTAGAGGTAACAACTATGATTTCAAGGTTGATGTTTGGTCATTAGGTATTATGACAAGAGAAATGGCCGAAGGTGAACCACCATACCTCGAATTCCCACCACTTCGTGCCCTCTTTTTATTAACAACACAAGGTTTACCACCAATTAAAGATGCTCATAAATATTCAAAAGAATTTTTAGATTTCCTCGCTCTTTGTTTAGAAAAAGATACCGAAAAACGTTCGACTGCCGCAACTTTATTGAACCATCCTTTCTTAAAACGTTCATGTTCTGGACCAGAATTTTACAAAGCTGTTGAAGCTGCCAGAAGAGAAAAAGAAAATCAAATTCAAAATTTAACAAATCTTTCATAAATTTTAAAAATAAATCGTTAATTAACAAATCAAGCTTAAAATTATAAATAATAATAATGATAATAATAATAATAAATAATAATATATATATATAAATTATTAAAAAATATAATTTAAATTTATAAATATATATATTATATAATATAACTTTAAAAAAAAAAAAAGGATTAACCATAAAAAGCATATATTGAATAAAAAATTAAATTGTATACATATAAAAATTTATTTTAAAAAATTCAAATTTATTTTTATTTTATTTTATTTTTTTTTTTAAATTCTTTTTTTATTTTTTTTTTTTTATATTTTATTTTATTTTTGTTTTAAATTTTTCATTGATAAACGAAACCTTTTTTTTTCAATTTATATTACAACTAATTGTATATTATATAATAAATACAATAGGGACATCATATAAATAATAGGGTTCATCATAAATAAATATATCATTTCAAATAAAATACGTTTTCATCTTTTTTTCTAACAAATAGCATTTCATATTTAAAAAAAAGCATAGTTTGGTGTAAATGGAAGGCATGGATGAAAACAAAACTATTGAAGATTTAAAAGAGAGATTAAAACATGAAAATCATTATACAATTTTAAAAGTTAGTGAAAATGCAACACCAATAGAAATAAAGAAATCATTTTTAGCATTTTCTAAAATTTTGCATCCAGATAAAAACCGTGATCCAGATGCCACAAAACTATTCTCACATATCAACGAATCATATGTAAGCGTGCTTAGTCATATATATAAATCAATAAAAAGATTATACATATTTTTATTATTTTTATTTTATTTTAATTTTATTTTAATTTTTCAATTTTTTTAAAATTTTTTTTTATTGTTTTTTTTTTAAAATTTTTCAAGTTCAAATCATTCATTTGTGTTCATTAACAATATACATCTTTTTTTGATAGTCTTTTATATTTTGTTTTTGTAACTGTATTGTATTATTGTGTTGTTTTTATTAATTTATTTTGTTTTAATTTTTAAACATTTAAATTTATATATTTACTAACTAATTTTTTTTATTTATTTATTTATTTATTTATTTATTTATTTATTTATTTATTTATTTATTTATTTATTTATTTTATATACAGCAAATTTTAAAAGACGAGACTAAAAGAAAGAGATACGATCTAACATTAAGAAGACAAAGATTAGTAAATAGAAAAACAACAACAACAACAACAACAACAACTACTACATCAAAACCTCAAAGTGCAACTACCACAACAACTACAACCACAACTAAATCAAATACTTCTACAAAACAAACAGAATCATCATCAGCAGAAAATATTACAACACAGCCATATACCAATAATACCTCAAGCCCTGCCTCATCAGCATCACCATCAATATCCTCTACACCATCACCTACAGTTCCTCCAATTTCAGCAACAAATAAAAAATCGGGTGCTCAAGTTCCAACCAAAGCAACATATAGCACAACAGGAAATAAAACAACTTCTAGGTTATCAAATTTAGAGAAACTAGAAAGAGAAAAATTAGAGAAAGAGGAAAAAGAAAGGGTTGAAAAAGAAAGACTAGAGAAAGAAAAATTAGATAAAGAAAAATTAGAAAAAGAAAGATTGGAAAAAGAAAAGCAAGAAAAGCAAAGATTAGATAAAGAAAAACAAGAAAAAGAAAAATTTGAAAAAGAAAAGTTAGAAAAAGAAAAACAAGATAAAATGAAATCAAAACCATTTAAAAAACCAGATATAGCCAAAAAAGATGATACAGAAAGACCTGAAGAGCCAAAAAGACCAATATTAAAATCATCATCAAGAAAAACAAGTGTTGGTAATACATCCACACCATCCAACCCACCACCAGTTACAACCAGAAACAAATCAATAATATCAGAAAAGACAAAAGAAAAGGAAAAGAAATCAAGTAAAAAATCATCGTTAGCCAAAAAATCAGATAAAAAAAGAAAACATAATGACTCTGAAGATGAAGAAGATTCCGAATCAGAAGATGAAAAAGGTGATTTTGAAGTCGAAAAAGTTATTGATAAACTTGAAATGAACGGAATAATTCATTATGTTATAAAGTGGAAGAACTATAGTGAGCAATTTAATGAGGCCATCCCAGAAAGCGATTGCAACTGTCCAGAGTTAATTAAAGAGTATGAAGATGAAATTAAAAGAAAAGAAAAGGAAAAGGAAAAAGAAAAAGAAAAAGAAAGAAAAGAAAAGAAAACAACTACCACTACCACTACCACTACCACCACCAGTACACCCAATTCAAGGAAAGGATCAAATCCTCCAACTACTAGAAACAAAGCCAAACACATTGTTGAAGATGACTCTGATGATTCTGATGACTCTGATGATGAAGAAATGGTTTCTGCTGAAAGTGACTTTGACGATATCGCCCCAGAATCACAAAAAAAACCAAATAAATCATCAAGTAAGCCATCAACACCAACAAAGAAGCCAATAGTACCAATTCCAAGACCAAAAAAATATGAATCAGACTCTGAATTGGAAGAAGAATCGGAATCAGAGGATGAAAAACCAAAAAAAAAATCATCTTCAAAAAATAGCAGCAAAAAAGATATAAAAAAATCAAAATCTTCAAAATCATCATCGTCCAAAGATAACACAAAAAAAAAATCCTCTTCGTCAAAAAGACTTAGACATTAATGCAATAATAGAATATAATTTAATTATAAAAGATATACCAATAAAAAAGTGATAAAACAATAGTTTAAATATTTATTTAAATTTTTTTTTCTGTAAATTTTTTTTATTCGAATTTCCAATTGCTAAAAAAAAAAATAATAATTTAGGTAATACAAATATTTTTTTTTATTTTCGTTGTTTAATATTATTGTTTTTAAAATAGTTTTTTTTTTTTGGGTGTTTATTTTTTAGATTGATGTTTCATAATAAATCCTAACGAGGCAATAACTAAAAGAAGACCAAGTAAAACACCAAAACCTAAAACTGAACCTTTAGTAGCACCACCTGGTCTTAATTGGAAATTACTTGGAGGAATAATCTTACGATTTTGCCATCCTAAATCCAAATTTGAAAAAATAACGGCTGTGCAATCATCAGAGCCTGGAGCACCGATTGCTGTGCATTCATCATTATCTGGGAAAACTTTATAGTTAGCATCTCCTCCATCTATATTATTGAATGTATAGGAAAATGAGGTTGAATTTTCGCAGTCTGAAACACCTGTATAAAGAATATTGCAAACAACATAACATGGTTTTTGTGCAGCTGTAAATAAATAAAAACATTAATATAAATAATAATGACCCTAATTTATAAGTAGTTTAAACCTACGATTAACAAAACCATATGAACACATATAAGATAATAACCATGAGAAACATGTCTTGGTTGCATTAGTTTGATATTCGTAACCATTATTATCATCACCTTCAAATAAAATTTTTCTAATAGTTGAATCTAATGGATATGTTCCGTTTGATGATTTTGGTACATATGCATTATAATGTTGTGTGCTTGGTGCGTAATGTTCAAGGAAATCGAATGGGAATCTAAAGAAATCATAAGTTACATTTAAATATTTATAACCTTCTGTAGCTTGAGTACTAAACATACAAAGTGGGAAATCTACTTTTTTTAAATAGGTTAAAATAGTTGATTTTGGTAATGGTGATCCATAAACTTCTGTCATATTATATCTTGAGCAAGTGGCTTCACTTGAACCTGTCATATTGCAAGAACTAAAATCTGGGTTAATTTGAGCAAATTCAATTATGTTTTTTGGGTCTGAAAAATCAAAGAAAAATTGTTCTTGGCATATATCTTCACAAACACTATTACATCCCTTTACACCAGCTAACATATAAAAACAATAGCGATTAGTATTCAAATATAGGTAATAATAATAATAATAATAATAATAATAATAATAATAATAATAATTAAAATAATAATAATTGTTTTATATTTACTTTTTGGGAAACCATAACTGCACATATAAGTTTCTAAACTAGATGCACAAGTACTATTACCAAAATATTTAAAACCAATTTGATTTAAATCTTGATGTATAATATCTTTAACCATATAATCAAATGTGATATTTTGTGTAACACCAGTGATTGGTACAAATGGTTCTACTGATATATCAAAGTAATTGTCAAAATCGAATGATAAATATTTAATCCATGGGTAGTCAAAATTTATGTCAAAAACTTCACCTTCAGTTGGGATGTTTTTAATGTCACAAAATGTAAAATGTGATGGTAATAATTTTACTTGGTGAATACCTGTAAGGTTCTGTTTAGATTTTGATAAACCTATAAAATAAAACTATATTAATGACTTTAATTTCCTTATTAATAAGTTAATATATATTCCTGAAAAACTTACCAAAAAATCCAAAAATTAATAAGGTTGCTATGATAAGTTTATTCATTTTTTAATATGAAAAAAAAAAAAAAAAGATGAATAAAAAATTATTACTATTATTAATTTTTTTTTTTTAAATGTTTATTTTTATTTTTTTTTTTCTATCGATAATAGATATGTATAGTACAAGATAAATAAAAAAAAATTATAATTATTATAAACAATTAAAAAGCAAAAAATAATTATAAAACCAACACATAAGAAAAAAAAAATCAAAAAAAAAAAAAAAAAAAAATCAAAAAAAAATAAAATAAAATATTTTTTTAATTTTTTTTTTTTTATTTTTTTCTTGAAATAAAAGATATTTTAAAAAAAAACGTATTAATTCTATAATTATTGAAAAATATAATTTAAATAACTTAAATAATCTTATGCCCAACTTAAATATGCGCTAAAGAAATAAAAAATAAAAAATAAAAAATTATCAAAAAAAAAAATAAAAAATTTTATAATAAGCAATAAATAAATCAAAAAAAAAAATAAAAATAAAAGAAAGGGGAATGGAATATGGATACCAATATTTTGATAAAAGACAATAAAAACGACAAAATAAAAATAAAAATAAAAATAAAAATAAATAGAAAAAAAAAATAAAATAGAAAAAAATAAAATAAAATAAAATAAAATAGTTTTATAAATAAATAGTTTTATAAATAAATAGTTTCAGAAATATATAGATAATTTATAGAAATTTCTTTATATAGAACCATCACAAAATGATTTTCATTTAAAACAACACCAATCATCATATCTTCAAAAATAATTATTTTTCAAATTTTTAATAATATTATTTTTTTTATTTTTTTTTTTTAAATTTTTTTAAAAATTTTTTTTTTCGCTTTTGCAATAGATTTTTTTATTTTTAAATATTTAATATCATTTATTATAGTTATTTAATAATATTATCTTTTTATTAAATATATAATAATAATTAAATAATAATTAAAAAAATGACACAAACACATTGGAGTCTAAAGGTAGACAGAGGTAGACAAGTTTGGGAATACTCTGAAGAAAAAAAGGAAGCCACTGATGTCGATATCCATTTATTATTATTAAAAGAACCCGTATGTTTAAACAAGACAATAGATTAAAAACAGTGTGTGATTACATTGTTTTACCAACAAAAAAAAAAAGATTTATATTAACAGTTTTTTTTTTCTTTTATTTTTAATCACCACAGGGCACTACCACACCACAAGGTTGTGATTTAAACAAAGCACAAACTCCACAAGAAGCTATCTTAAAAGCTTTCCAATATTTCTCAAAAGTTCAAACTGAAGATGGTCATTGGGCAGGTGATTATGGTGGTCCAATGTTTCTCTTACCAGGTTTAGTTATTACTTGTTATATCACTGGTTTCAAACTTCCAGAATCAACCGAAAAAGAAATTATTAGATATTTAATCACCAGACAAAATCCAACTGATGGTGGTTGGGGTCTGTATGTATTATAATAATATATGACATCACATAATATTAAAGAATTACATAATAATATATATTTTTTTTTTTAGCCATATTGAGGCTCATTCAGATATTTTTGGTACAGCATTACAATATGTTACATTAAGACTTTTAGGTGTTCCAGCTGATCAACCAAATGCTAAAAAGGCTAGAGAATTTTTACATGCAAATGGTGGTACTGTTGGTATCCCATCATGGGGTAAATTTTGGTTAGCAACTTTAAATGTATATGATTGGGAAGGTTTAAATCCAATTCCAATCGAATTTTGGTTATTACCATACAACTTACCAATTGCTCCAGGTAGATGGTGGTGTCATTGTCGTATGGTTTACTTACCAATGTCTTATATCTATGCTAGAAAAACAACTTGCAAGTTAACTGATTTAGTTAAAGAATTAAGAAAGGTAAATATATGTATATAAATATAATTTAGTATAATTTATATTAATATTTTTATTATTTTCAAAAATTTTAAAGGAATTATATATTACTGATTATGATAAAATCAATTGGTCAGAACAAAGAAATAATATTAATAAATTAGATATGTACAATCCACATACCACCTTATTAAATATTATCAATTCAACATTAGGTGCTTATGAAAAAGTTCATTCAGGATGGTTAAGAAAGAAAGCTATTGATTACACCTTTGAACATATTAGATACGAAGATGAACAAACTAAATACATCGATATTGGTCCAGTTAATAAAGTCATTAATATGTTATGTGTTTGGGATCGTGAAGGTTGTTCACCAAACTTTTATAAGCATGCCGATCGTCTCAAGGATTATTTATGGTTAAGTAATGACGGTATGAAAATGCAAGGTTATAATGGTAGTCAACTTTGGGATACTGCATTCACTATTCAAGCTTTCATCGAAACTGGTATTGCCAATCAATTCCCAGAATGTATGAAGAAAGCCAACGAATATTTAGATATTTCTCAAGTACCAAATGATTCACCAAATATGGATGTTTATCATAGACATTTCTCTAAAGGTGCATGGCCATTTTCAACAGTTGATCACGGTTGGCCAATCTCTGATTGTACAGCAGAAGGTATTAAATCAGCTTTAGCTCTTCGTTCACTTTCATTTATCGATCCAATTTCATTAGAAAGAGTTGCAGATGGTGTCAATGTTATCCTTACTCTTCAAAATAAAGACGGTGGTTGGGCTTCATACGAAAATAAACGTGGTCCAAATTGGTTAGAGAAATTCAATCCATCAGAAGTTTTCCACAATATTATGATCGATTATTCATATGTCGAATGTAGTGCTGCATGCATCCAAGCAATGTCATCTTTCCGTAAATATGCACCAAGTCATCCACGTATCAAAGAAATTAATCATTCCATTCAAAGAGGTGTTAAATTTATTAAATCAATTCAAAGACAAGATGGTTCATGGATCGGCAGTTGGGGTATTTGCTTTACTTATGGCACATGGTTTGGTATTGAGGGTTTAGTTGCCGCTGGTGAACCATTAAATTCACCAAATATCATTAAAGCTTGCAAATTCTTAGTTTCAAAACAAAGAGCTGATGGTGGTTGGGGTGAATCTTTCAAATCTAATGTCACTAAAAATTACGTTCAACATCCAGAAACCTCTCAAATTGTTAATACTGGTTGGGCTCTCTTATCTTTAATGTCTGCTAAATATCCAGATAGAGAACCAATTGAAAGAGGTATCAAATTCCTTATCTCAAGACAATATGCTAATGGTGATTTCCCACAAGAATCAATTATTGGTGTATTCAATTTCAATTGTATGATTAGTTATTCAAACTATAAGAATATTTTCCCATTATGGGCATTAGCCAGATACAATAATTTATATTTAAAAAATAAATTATAAAAATCATCATCAATTTTAATAATATAAAAAAAAAAAAAAAAAAAAAAAAAAAAAATATTATATCAACAATAACAATAATAATGGTAATAATAACGGTAAAATAATAATTGTAATTTATTTAAAAACTCGATTATAAAAAAAAAAAGATGCATTTCTAGCTTAATCAATAATGTTCAATAATATAATAACAACAGCAATAATAGTTTTTATATCGACATTGGTTTAAAATTTTGAAAACCACATTTTTTATATATTTTTTTATTAATTCAAATATTAAAATTATTTTAATAAATTATTATGGAGTTTCATCGTATTTTAAAAAAACTTTTTTTTATTTTTTTTATTTAATCACAATTAAATGTAGTTTTGTTATTGCATTAAATCTCTAGGAAGAATAAAATAAATAAAAGGTTTGATATGAATTGATAGTTGCGCGTCGCCCCAAGAGATGTTTGTTTGTAATTGTATCAGTACTGATACAACTAGGAAGTTTGTTTGTTTCATATCATACTCATTCAAGCATGATACTCCACGATTGTTCTCGAAATTGTTTGACCAATTTCTATCTCGTTGGGGGACGTTTCTTATTTACCGTAAATCTTTTAATTGTTGATTGATGTTTCAAAGTATGGCAATTGCTTTTGTGCATCATTTCAAATCTAAACCTGTTTAATATTATTCATCATTATTTGGTTTTTAAATTGGTATTTTTTTTTTTTTTATAATAGTTTTGGGATATTTTAAAAAAAAACTAAAAAAAATTAAACATTTATAATTATTTTCTTTATTTATAAATAAAATATCAAATTCTTAATTATTTAAAAAAATTTAAAATTTTTGCTAAAAAAAAAAGAAAAATTAAAAAAAAAAAAAAGAAAATTATTGAAAGTTTTTTATTTTTATTTTTTAGAAAAATTATCGATCAAAGTTTAATTTTTTTCTTTTTTGCAATATATTTTTTCTCAATTTTCTGGTTCTTTTTTTATTTTTTTATTTATATGTTGTTCATTACCTTCATTGTTCTCTTCTTCATCATAATAAACAAGTTGATCAATAACTTCGTCATAATAGCATTCTTGAGTAATTCTTCTCCATTTTTTTTTGGAGATTTTTACAAGATGGCACAATGCACATTCCGGTGTACAATAATAAAAACGAACTTTATGAAATTTTGAAAATAAATAAAACTGCTTACCAACATAAGAATAGCATTGACCAGGACTTTCAATTCCATGGAAACATCTGTTGTTTGAAAAGAATTCAATGTTTTTAAGACTATGAAGATCACATTTAATGAATGCTTCTCGAATAATAAGTTGAAGTCTTGAAACTTGGTCCATATCTCTAAAGTGTTTATAAGGTTTACAAAAGAAAATTGGGACTCTTTTTTCATCTTTAAAAATATAAACAAAATATAATTAGTATGTTGCTTAATAATAATAATAATAACAAAAATAGTTACCATTTTTAATTACTAACGCAAAATTATTTTTATTTGAAGATACAACTGTTTTGGTGCAATTTGAACCAATGCAAAAATTCCCATTAACATGATTGTTTAATACTGTTCTCCAATTTAGTTGGTCACGGTTTGGTTGAGTGATTGCAGTAGTTGTAGTTGTAGTTGTTCTATTTGGTGTTGGTGGTGGTGGATTTAATTTTGGTTGTTTGTTTGGTGAACTTTCCGACTTTTTAACAACATATTCAATTTCTAGTTCTTGAAATGTTTTGTTAATTAAATTTTTGATATCTATATTATATTTATCTGCATATTTTATAGCGCAGACTAAACAATGTTGGATATAGCTAAAAGTATCAATATGTTCTTTACATAAATTACATAAACGTTTTCCCATTTTTCTATTATAATTATAATTAATTTATAAAGTTATTATTTGTTGAAAGGATTGTTATTGGCAGTTGAATTTAAAAAAAAAAATTTACATTTAAATAAAATTTTTTTTAAACTAAAATAAAAAAATTTAAATTTTAAATTTTAAAAAAAAAAAATAAAAATTTTTTTAAACGTAAAAACCATTTTTAAAAAAATAATTATAATTTAAATATCATATTTAAATAATGATCAGGTTTTGAAATAAATTAAAATAAATAAATAATATCATTATATATTAAAATAAAAAAATTAATAAAAAATGAAAGATGGAAAAATGTGTGTTTGATTTTTTAAATGGGTCAAAATAATAAAATTGTAAAGGTTTTTTTTATATATTTTAATATACAAATTATATATTCATTAAATTAAATTCATATAAATAGAAACAAATTTTTTTTTTTTTTTTCATTCAAATTATTTCAAACTATTATTAATAAAAATAAAAAACAATCTATAAAAATGTCAATTATTAGTAAATATAAATTTTTTTTTTTTTTAAATAATTAAATTTAAATCTAAAGATAAATTTATTTTTGTATTTTAGAAAATATTTCATCAATGAGCCCAGTTAGTGCCGGAAGCTCTCCATCTAAATCAAACTTGGCTTTGCCAAGTGGTGCTTCATTCTCTGGTAATAAATCCTCATGTTTTGGTAATCGTGGCAATTTTGGTGGGTTTAACCCATGCTGTAACCCATGTGGCGGTGGTTTGGGTGGCAATTTTATCAATATTGATATTGATATTGGTCGTGGTCGTAGAAGATGTTGTTAAATAAATCTATATTTTATCAATTTTAATATATTTTTTATTTTATTTCATTTTTTTATTTTTTTATTATTTGAAAAATAAATATATTAATAATCAAATTTGAGTATATCTAATGATTATTTACTCTTTACTGTACTTATTTTTTAAAAACAATAATTTATAATAATTAAAATATGATTTATCATTTTTTAATAAAATATAAATATAAGTTTCTATTTTTATATAAAGATATATTATATTATTATAAAATTTATTGTTTTATGTAATATAGTAAGAGTAATTAAATCTAAAAATGAAATACATTTTTATTGTAATGAATAATAAATAATTATAAAAATAAATAATTTTCTTTCCTTTTTTAAAAATAATTATATTGTGGTGGTTTTTAATCTATTGATCTCAAAGATTAAAAAAATAATATTTTCCTTTTATATAAAAATTTAAAGTGAAACCTTTTAATTTTTGATAAACTTTATTAATTTATGATTAATAATATAAAATAATTAAATAAAAACGAATGTGAATCCATGTTTGGTTTAAAATTAATGCAATAGCTATTAATAAATAGTTATTAGACAAAAGATAAGTATAAATAGCCATTAACAAAAAAATATAATATTAAAAATAGAAAATAATATAAATTTAAATTAATAAAATAAAAAAATAAAAAATTAATTAATAAAAGTGTGGGGTAATTATTTTTTATAAATATGTGGAATGAAATAATGTGGGTGTGGTAAGTGTATGTGTTTTGTTTTTAGTGGGTTTGGGAATGATAATGTCCAGGACATGATATTTTTTTTTTTTTTTAATAAAAATAATTTGTGGATGACTTTTGTGTTGTTTTTTATTTTAAAATAATTTTTAATGTATATTAGAGTGTTTTGAGAACAAGATTTTGTTTTAAATAAAATATGTGTGAGTGTGGGGAGTGTTATTTTAAAATATGTGGGGAGTGTGGGTTCTTTAATTTATTCATCCATAAATAATAATAGTCTTGAAAAATAGTGTCAAAGAATAGATTAATGTTTTTTTATGGATATGTGATAGTTATTGTTTAAATAATTATTTTTATTTTTTAAATATGATTATGATTATTATTATTATTATTATTTTATATAATAGGATTTGTATAAATAAATATATTTATATTAATTTATGTGTGTGTGTATGTGTATGTGTATGAGTACATGTATGTGTAATTATTAATATTTTATTTTATTTTATTTTATTTTTATTTTTTTTCTTAAATTCATTTATTTTAAAAAATATTTAAATTCTTAATTGTTCAAACCATTCTTTCAAAAAATAATAAAAAATTTAATAATAATAAATAATAAACAATTAAAAAAACAATCGAATAATTAAAATATATTGGTTTGTTGGGGTTTTTTTGATATTATATTTGTCTCTGTTTTTGGTATTTTTTAAATTTTTTTCATTATTCATTTCAAATAATAATTTTATAATAATTTATTGCTTCTTTATATATTTTTTATTCTATATTTTTATTTATACAATAGTGTTTTTATATTTTATTGTATATTAATATTTCATTTATTTATTTATTTATTCACTTATTTATTTATTTTTTAAAGAACTATATTGTTTTTATTGTTGTGTGTGTGTATTGTTTATTTTTTTTAAATTAATATAATAAAAAATCAAATATTAATTCCCAATCATTTTTTAAAATTTAATAAAAATAATCAATCAATCAATCAATCATTTAATAAATAATTTTTTAATCAATAGTTATTTAATTTATCATTAAATTAAATCTTATTTTGAAATCATTTATCTAAATAATCATTTACCAAATAATAATAACAAAAAATAGAAATATATATTATAATTTTAAAAACTAAAAGATTAAATTTATTTTAGATTAATTTTATATTATTAAAGTTGTTTTTATTTTTTACAAATCTAAATTATAATATAAATCATTTTAGTTAAAAAATGATTAATATTAAATCAGTTTTATATTCATCTTTATTTTTTTCATTAGCTTCGGCTGATTGTAAGTGTATTCAATATTTAAATAATTTTTTCTTAACTTTTTACTAATCTTTATTCTTTTTTATTATAAAGTCACATCATTCATAACACCAAGTAATTTAAATAGATATAATTTAAAAAGAGAAAAGGTAGAACCAGTATTTGATTTGGATAATAGGGATTATGTTGAGTCATTAGTAGTTTTAAGTTTTCCAGGGGTTTTATTAAGCATCTTTATAATTGTATTGGGCTTGGTTGTGTTATTTTTAAGAAATTGTATTAGTATAAAAAAGAAATCATCAAAAGAAAAACAAGAAGAAAAAGATGTTAAAACATTAGGTGCAGATTTTGATACCTCATCAATTATTTCAGATTACCAACCATCAAAAACAGTTTCATCCAAATGGCATTTCAAGATCGTAAAGTTCTTTGTATTTATAATTATTATTACAACTATAGTTGGTGTTATTTTAGGTTTAACTTCAAACTCTACAGCATCAAAAGATTTGAATGGATTTTTCTCAAATATGGAATTAAATGCAAAAAATGCTAAAAAAACAGGTGCCAATTTAGTTCATGCTTTAGCTGGTAAAACTGATGTATCCAAAACCGTAGTAAAGAATTTAAAACCATTGTTAGACGAGCTCAATAATATGACCATCAGCACCCATCAAGCTAAAGTCGAAGAAACCAATCTTAATCTTCTCAGACAATCAATTTCAATTATGGGTTATGTAGTTGCAATCATTACTTGTGCCTGGGGTATTTTTGGTGTTGCTAATGGAAAATCATGGACATTCATGTTACTTTGTTATTTAAGTTTGTTATCAATTTCAATTACTCTTTTATCAATGGGTCTCCACATTCCATTATCAGCAGCTTCTTCAGATTTATGTAATTCATTAGAAGATTATCTTGATACCGGTATCTCACCACCATGGATGAAAAAATGGATCGATTGCGAACCATCACCAGCCATTAATAAAGTCGTAACCTACTCTCAAACTGAACTTGACAAATTAGTTAAAATGATCAATTTATTCTCTGTAGCCTACACCAAGAAATCATACACTGTTGAAAATATCAAAACTTTAAAATTAGACGAATTAAGAGCTATCATTCCAATTGATCAAGTACCCCTCTTTGACTCTAAATTTGACCAAATTACCATTCCAGCCATTCTCTCAGTCCCAAGATTAGAAAATATTGCAGAATGCAAATTTGTTAAAGATTACTTCAACTATACCAAAAACAATTATTGTGATGAAATTATTGATGGTGTCAATAAAATTGTCATTTCAGAAATTTTAATTTCAGTCATTTGGATTCCAGGTTTTATTTTTGCAGTAATTTATTCAAAAGATGGAACAATTAATAATGAAAGCAATAGCAATAGTAATAATAATCAAAATAATCATAACAACGAAGAAGGTGATGAAGAAGAAGAAGTTAGAGGTCCTAATAATAATATCAATAATAATATTCAAAATAATAATAATTAATTCTTTTTATTATTTTAATTATCGAAATTATTTATTAATATATAATTCATTTATATAATCATTAAAAAAAAAAAAGAAAAAAAGAAATTTAGAAAAAAAAAAAAAAAGTTAAATTATTTATTAAATTAAATAAAATAAAATAAAATAAATATTATATTTTACAATAAATATCCTATAAATAATTATTATTTATTTATATATTTATTTTTTGTTTATATAAATTAATTGAATGTTCGAGTAATAATTTATAAAAATCTTGAACACCACCATATGCTAAAATTAAAGAAATAAATGAATTAGAATTATGTGTTTTAATTAAAAAGAGATTGCTTTTGAAAAATAATAATACTCACTTGGAAAATAATTAATATCGACAACTGCTAGCTTTTTGGTTTCGGAATCAATGATAACATCAAAACCAAACAATGTAAGTCCTAAAGCTTTTGTAATGTTTTGTGCTACAATTTTTAATGTTTCTTTATTTGGTGTTTGAACTTTAGATTCGATATCTTCAGTTGGTAATAGAGTTGATGGGAAAGGTTTTTGACTATCAAATTTTATCAATTCAGTTTCTATAATATAATTACATTAGTATTGCAAATATAAGAAATAAAAGAATTTTGTAAGTTTACTATATTACCGTTTTGGTTCATATTTCTAATTGATTTTTTATGCACAACGTGAATGTAATCGCCAATGGCAAATACTTTATATATGATGCCATCATGATTGATAAATTGTTGGATCAACATTGGGAGTTTAAATTGATGAAGGTCAGATTCTCTAAAAACAATACCCATAAAGTGAGATTCTTCTGATCCACATGCTTTTATTGGTTTGCATACACATGGGAATGTAATATCGCTCTTTTGCAATAATTCGCTATAATCTTTAATTTGACTTTGTTCATCGATTAGAACAAAGTTTGGATTCTTTACAAAATCACCTCCTTCTTTAGAATCATTTAGCTTGTCCAATAATATGCTTAATACATCTCTACCTAAAACTGATTTTTGAAATTCTATTGAATCAACTTGAACAATTGTTTTAAATCTTTTCATTAATTCCTTTATTTTTTTAAATTAAAATTATTAATATATTTCTTTATTAGATTTTATTTATAATCAATGATGGCACTTACTTGAATTTTATCTATTTTGGTTTTGTTTTTAATATTTTCAAGATCACCTAATTCATCAGTTAATTTATTAATAAATACATGAAATGGTTGTTTATCATATGAACTAACATCTTTTTCTAAATCGAGTGGAACACAATTAATGTTATATTTCTCTCTATATTAAATGAAATAAAAAAAGGGTTGGTAAACGCATAGTTTATGAATAATTGTATTTTTTATTTAATATTTCACTTACTTGCACATATCTACAAACGAATTCCATTTTAATCTTTCTACTTTTGATTTCGATAAATAATAACCAACTGTAAAATCTGATGGTAAATTATCTGTAATATTACTAGTCATTGTTTTGAAAATAATTGGGGTAAATGTGTGACAAAGAAATTTTTTTTTTTATAAAATTAAAATTAAAAAATAAATTTTTTTTTTTTTTTAATTTTTTTTTTTTTAATAAATTTAAAATTATTTATTTATTTTTTTATTTATTTATTTTTTCTTAAAAACAATAAAATAATAATTTCACAATTCTCTTTTTTATAATAATTAAATAGTTTTTGTAGGTTAAAATTTTATTTTAATGGTTTGTATTAAATAGCTATATAAAGTTTGGTAACGTCATCTAAAATAAAAAAAGCAATTATATTCACAATAGAGGTAAGTTTTTTCAAATAAAAAAAAGTGGGATTTTTAAAATAGTAATTAATTTAAAATTTAGTTTCCAATATTTTTTTTTTCTTTTATTTTTTTTTTTATTTCAACAAATTTTTTTTTAGTTCAATAGTAATTGAAATATGAATAATAGGGCCCTTTATAATCGTTTACCATATTATAATTCTTATCAAAGAATTGATTATAGTAGTCATTCAAGTTTTAATAGAAATAATAATCATAATAGGTTTTTAGAAAAATACTATAGGGATGATTTGGATGATGTTTCTAATAAAAATAGATTTTCATATCATTGTGATCAACGTAGTAATAATCATAATCATAATAATAGAAATAATAATAATAGTAATAGTCATAATAATAGAAATAATAACAATAATGATAATAATAATAGTAATAAACATAAACATAATAATAGTAATAGTCATAATAATAGAAATACTCATAATGATGATGATAATAATAATAGTAATACTCATAGTAATAGAAATAATCATAATAATGATAATAATAATAGTAATAATCATAATAAAGATAATGACAACAGTTAATACATTACCAAAGTATAAAAGAAATAGATAGTTTATCAGATAGACCTTTTAAAGTTTTAAAACCAATTTCCAACAAAGAGATCGACCCATCAATTAGATAATCCTCAATAGTATGGTTGAACCAAACAAGATGAAAATAATCATCACAACACCACCAAAATCTACTCTATCCTATTACCATCATAAATGATAATCGGTTGAAAAATAATATATAACGAATAAAACTTTATTTTTTTATTTATAAATTTATTTTTTTATTTATTTATTTTTGTTTTGTTTTGTTTTTACAAATATTTTTTTCTTTACAGTCTAATTTGTTTAAAGTTAATTATTAACATCTTCTTCACCTTCTACATCACCTTCTACATCACCTTCTACATCACCTTCTATATCACCTTCTACATCACCTTCTACATTACCTTCTACATCACCTTCTACATCACCTTCTTCACCACTTTCTTCATCACCTTCTTCGTCATCTTCATCACTTTCATCATCACCTTCACTAAAATTACTCATATCTTCATAGTCATCATCATTGTATTCTTCTTCATGTACTTCAAAATCATCATCTGAAATCTCTGGAAAATCATATTCGTCTATTTCGAATGTAATTTCTAAAGTTGTTGGTAAATCCAATTCCTGGATTATTTGATTCATTTCATCATTTTTAAAAACAAGTTTTTTTAAAGTAGATGGTAAAACATTAGCTGAAATCTCTTGAACAAATCTACTGCCAAATTCTAATATTTCCAAACCTTCATTAAATAACCCTTCTGAAATACTTTGGTTAAAACTTGCACCAAAACTAATGGCCTTTGTTGATGATGGAAATGTACCATTTTCTATTGGCTTGTTAAAATTTTCACCTAACATTATAGTCTCAATACCCTGATTAAAAATACCTGGAGATATAGGTTTATTGAATCTTAAACCAAAATCTATAAAAAGTAAAGATGATGGGAGTGTTCCTGGTTCTATTAATTTATTAAAGGAATCACCAAGGGAAATTGAAGTTACCGAGGGTGGAAATGTTAGCGGAGGAATGGGTTGATTAAACATTGTTGAAAACTCGATAGATTCGAGTAATGGTGGAAGTGAACCATTTACCAATGGTTTGTTGTAGCTGCCCAAAAACAAATACCTGAGGTTTGCTGGCAAACTTCCTTTTTTTAAGGGGTGATTAAAATTGAAAATTGAAAGCCTTGTTACTGAATCTGGTAAACGAAATTTTTTATTTATTGAATACAAATATAATGTTTCAATGAATGGTGGCATTGATCTTTTGGGTACCGTAATTTTATTCTTGTGGAACAAAGAGAAGCTTTTAAGAGATCGTGGCAATAATCTTGGGTCTACTGATTCGTTGCAAATCAATTTCAGAGTTGTTAAGGTTTTAGGGAATGTATCTTTTTCAATTTTTTCTAAATTAACCTTTATTTTTAAAAGTGATTCTGGTAATGCTCCTTTTTCAATTGAGTGTGTAATTATTTCTCCATCAAAAACTATGCTTTTAATACTTGGTACTAAGTCACCAATTCTAATTTTTCTATTAAATTGTGACCCAAATACGATCTTTTCTACCCCTTGGGGAATAGCTTTTCCATGTGGCTCTAATGGGTCATTTGATAGATACTTTAACTCTGTTATATATTCTCTATATTGATAGTTAATTAATTCTGTAATGTTTGATACTGAAACTGATACATTTTTATTATAAATTTGTATATGCTTAAATATTTGGTTTTTTAAAAATACATTACGAAAAACTGAAAAAAACAAAAAATCAACATCTTTATTTTGATTAATATCATTATTATTATTTTTATTTGTTTTAAGTTTTTTATTTTTTTTGTTTAATTCATTTTTTCTTAATTTTCTTTTCTCCATGGTATTGAATAAATTATTATTTTATTTTGATTATTACTTTAAAAAATTTTTTATTTAATATGGTTGTTTTTTAAAAAAATTAAAAAAAAAAAATAAGGGTGAAAAATTAATTTATTAAATAATAATAAAAAAAATTAAAAAAAAAAAAAATTAAAAAAAATAATTATTTTTGGATACAAAAAAAAAAAATCAAATTATTATAAAAAAAAAAAATTCAATTTTAAAAAAAAAAAAATAAAACCCATATAAAAATTTATTTTGGTGAAATGCAATCTTTTTTTTTAATATGTTGAATAATATATTTATATTTATATAATTTTAAAAATTTAATAATTTATACAATCAAATAGAAATTGAATAAATTATTAAATAAAATAATCCCCAAATTCATCTTTTTCTATTTCTTCTTCTTCTTCTTCTTCTCCATTATCGTCAAAGTTAACTGTACAACCTTCTGGAATTGATCCTTCTAATAACAATTCTTTCATATTTTCGTTTCTTAAAAGCAAATATGTAAGTGATTGTGGTAATATATCTTTTGATAATTCTTGTTGAAATTCATATCCAAATTCTAAATGAGTGCATGTTGGTGGTATTACACCTTGGGTTATCTCTTGGTCAAACCATCCACCAAACTTTAATGTTTTAAGTCCACTACATAGGATACCTGGTGTAATTGGACAGTTGAAATTCCAACCTAAATTCAAATAGGTTACACTTGATGGTATTGATCCTTCAACGAGTATTTGATTAAATGTGGCATCCATTCTAAGTGTTTTCAAAGATGAGGGTAAATCTTTTGGTTTTAATATTTGATTAAATATGCCAAAATGTAAATATTCAATACCAAATGGAATTAAATTTTCTTCTAATGGCTGATCGAAATATTCCAATGAGAGATATTTGATAGAGGATGGCAAGTCACCTTGAAGTAGTGGTTGATTAAAGTCACATAGCCTTAAATATGTGATGCTGTTTGGTAATATATCTTTAAGGGGTTGATTTAAACCATCAAAACGTAGAGTTTCCAATGTTTCTGGTAAAGCTCCTTTGACCAATTGATGAGAATAGACCCCATTATCTTGTGAAATAATTTTTAATGTTTTTAAAGATTGCAATGAACCAATGGGTATGGCTTGAAAAAAGGAATAAAGTTCTAAATAATCTAAAGACTTTGGTAAAACTCTATCATTAAACGATCTTGAATGATCTTGACCATTCATTTTTAAAATAGTACACGATTTTGGTATTGCTCCTTTTTCTAATGATTTATCATAATCATAATTCCAAAAACTAAAATTTTATTAAAAAATGTTAATAATAAATAAAGCAATAGATAATTAATAATTTTTAAACTACATACCATATTTTAGTGACTGTATTGGGTATATCACCCGGTTTGATTATTTGATTAAATTTATCACCAAATTTGATTTCTGTGATGACACTATCGGGAATTACACCTTCAGGTTCTAAAGGTTCATTTGGAGATATTGATAATCGAGATATGTATTCTCTATAGGGATATTCTTCGAGCTGTTTCATTGAATATGCTTTAAATGTTTGATTTTTAAGGTATAACATAACAAATGAAAATATTTTATTTTTTAAAAAGATATTTCTCCATATTCTAAAAAACAATTGGCTGTTATCACTATCCATTTTTTATTTTATTTTTTTATTATATATCTTTTTTATTTATATAACTATATCTATATTTTACATAATTATTATTTTGGTAAAAATAAAAAATTAAAAATTAATCTGAAAAAATAAAAAAAAATAAAAAAAATAAAAATTTTTATTTTTTTTTTAATATTTTGTTATTTTTATCATAAAAAGAAACAATGCACCAAAACAAAAACGAAACATTTTTTTGAATAAACATCATGATGATATTTAAACCAAAAAAACATTCAGAGAATTTTATAGAAATAAAAAAAAAAAAAACGAAAACACACGAAATTTTTATAAAGGAATTAAGATATCGTTTTTATTTTAGCTTTAAAATATGTTGTAAGTCTTGATTAAAACAATCTATTAGTTTTGTATTGTTGATGGAAGTTTTAATAGATTTTAGATTTAGATGTTGATAATTGATGATTTCAGGTGCACCATTCTTAATGATTATCTTTTTTAAATTGTCATTAAAGTTTTGAAGATCAACCAGACCATTATAGCTTGCACCAAGATTTAATGTTTTGATTTTGTTATCCACTGGTATATCTTTTTTCATATTGATATAGAGTGAATTTAAATCTAAATATTCTAAATTAATTTTATTGTTTAAAAACTCTTTGTATGAACCTTGAAAATCTTCGGGTATTTTAAGTGAAACTAAATTATGAGGATTATTGGAAAATTGTTTGATAAAAGTGTCATTTTTACAGTCTACAATGGTTCGGTTTCCAACTTTGATTGATTTGTTAAAATGGTAGTTACGAATTAATAGATATTTGACATGATGAGGAAGTGTAATATCTTGATTGAAGTTATAGCCTAGTTTTAGAGTTTTTAAAGATGGTGGTATCACATTAGCATCGATGGGTTCGTTGAAGTTAAAACCTAGGTTGATGTGGGTTAAGCTTGATGGAAATAAATGCTCATTTAATTTTAATTTATATTTAAAAAAGTCTTTGATATAATCTAATAAAATATTATTACCAATAGGACCAACTCTATGAATTTGTAAACCATTAACTACTTTTTCGTGATCTGGCTTTATTGTATTGATAAATGAAGCACTATTAGATTTTAATACATTGGGGCCACCGTATTTAAATTTAAGTAAATTATTTGGTAAGTTTTTGGTGAATTGGTTTTGATGAAAACTTTCAATGTTGGCACACAGTTTTTCCAATGATTGAGGAAATTTGATTTCATGGTCTATGCTACTGGATTTAATATAAAGTTCTATTAGATTTTGTGGTAGTTCGATTTTTGCAATGTTTGATGATATCTTCAGTGTTGATAGGTTCTGCAAAAAAGATAGATCTACAGAAATTCTATTTTGATTATCTAATGTTTTAAAGGTCAAAACTTCTAATCCCATGGGTACATGGCTTGGGTCTAACAGTAATAAAGACATATCATCTTCAATTATTACTTCTAATTGCTTTAGTGATTCAGGTAATGATTCTTTTTCAATTCTTTTTTTAAGAAATATAAATAGCTTTTCTAATTTCTTTGGTAATGTGTTTTTATCGATGATATAGCTGTAACCTTTTTCGAATGATAACTCAGTCAAGGTGCTTGGGAAACTATTCGAATCTAATTGTGGAATTTTATCACTTGCAATTGACAAACCAAGTGAAATTAAATTACTTGCATTTCTAAAATTTGAAATATTTATATAATAACCATCAATATTTGTAATAATTAAATGGGTTATATAGGTGGGCACTGGTGATATGAAATGTTGACTATATAATATGATTGTTTTTAAATTTGGAAATTTAATTTGCAAGTTTTGGTAATTGAATTCGTTGTCTTTGATATCATCAATAATGCTGACTTTGTAAAGGTAATCTCCATATGAGCATTCTATTATTTCTTGTGGTGATAAAAAAACTCTATTTGATGAATAAATTTTAAAAAGCTTACAAAATTCCAAAATTTTATTTTTTAAAACAATATTATTCCATATTAAACTACCATTGTTATTATTATTATTATTATTATTATTATTATTATTATTATTATTATTATTATTATTATTATTATCTTTTATTAAATTCATCTTTTATTATTAATAAAAAAATATAAAATTTTTTTTAAATAAAAATCAAAATAAAAATGAAAATAAAAAAAATAAAGTTTAATAAAAAAAAAAAGTAAAAAGAAAAGTAAAATATTTATTAATTTGATTATTAAAAAAATATTTATAATGGGGCAGATATTACGTCATGAAAAAATAATTTAGATTTTTTTTTTTTTTTTTTTGGATAATATCTATTTTTTAAAATACATTATAATTGTATTTGGAAATAAATTTTCATTTATAAATTGTTTTGATTCGATATTTCCAAAAGTTATTTTTTGAATTGATTTTGGAATGTTATCTATTGATTGAAGGAAACAGTTACCAAATGTGATACTTTTGATACTTTGAGGAATATCTGTTTCATTTATAATTTGATTAAAGTTCCAACCAAACTTTATTGTTTTTAAAAATGGTGTCTGTGAAAAGCAGTTGTTTAAAGGCTGGTTAAAAAAGTGACCAAAACATATGGATGTGAGGCTAGTGGGCATAAGACTTGATGTAATTGGCTTGATAAAAAAAGATCCAAAGGTTAAAGAGGTAACACTATTAGGTATATCATTTTTTTTTATTGTATGTGTGAAATGATCAGGCAGAACTAATGATTCGCAATGGTTTGGAATAGAGCCCTCCAGAGGATGGTCGTAGCTTTTTCCCATTGAAAATGATTTTATGGATGATGGTAATACACCTTCTGATATCCTTTGGTTAAATAGATCACCAAAGTTTAGATTTATTACTGATGATGGAATATCGCCTGCTTTAATTTCTTTATCGAATCTACTACCTAATGTTAGAGATGTTACTGATGGAGGAATACCAGATAGCTCTTTAGTATATTCGTGACCAAAAGATAGAGTGAGAACGCTGGATGGAATTATATTTTGTACTAATACTTGGTTAATACCTCCAAGGTGTAGATCTGTTACTGATGCTGGTATATCCTTTTCTTTTAAAATTTTTTTAAACCTGTGACCCAATATAAGTGTTTTAATTGATGGGGAGATTTGATTTTCTTCTAAGGGTTGATTGAAATTACCACATATAAGAGTATGAACACTGGATGGAATTACACCAACAATTAAAGGTTTGTTATAATCTGTGGATAGTTCTAAAACTTTAACAGAGCTTGGAATCGATTCGTCTTTGATTAGATCTTGATTAAATTTTAATCCAAGAGATAATACCTCAACAGATGAAGGAATAGAACCCTTAACTAAAGTTTGATTAAAGTTACCAAAAACAAGAGTTTTAACTGATGATGGTATATCATTATCGCGTAGTGGTAAGTTATAATCTTTTAGTTCTAAATGTGTGCATGACATTGGTATTTGGTTTGGTGAAAGCTGCTTATTGAACCTATCTAATTTTAAAGTTGTAATTGTATTTGGTAAATTGGGTAATTGGCAGTCAAAGTCTCTTAATTCTAAAAAGGTAATAAAAGGTGGTAATTGAAATGGTTGAAATGGCTGATTAAAAAATACTAGTTTTAAAACTCTAATCGAATCACTAAAAAGTCCTTTAACCAAAGGTCTATTATAATGGTGTAATGATAATTCTATTAAAGATTCTGGTAATTCATTTTCCCTGATCTCTTGATTAAATTTTCGACCAAATACTAAATTTGTAACACTTTCTGGGATTAAATATTTTGGTTCTATCCGTTCGTTTGAATTAAGATACAAATTGGTTATGTATTCTCTCAAAGGATGTTCTAATAACTCTTTATTTGAATTTATTAGAACCATTTCTGAATTATCTCTATAAAGTTTTAAATGTTTACCTTTTTTAAAAAAAAATTATAAATTAGTGTGTGTTATATTTTTTTTATTGTTTATTATGGATATGTTACTTATTTCATTTCTAAGATAAATATTTTTAAAAACATTATAAAATAATTTTTCGAATTTATCACAATTATCTTCCATTTTTGTGTGAATAAAGTTATATTTATAATTAAATATTTAAATATTCATTGTATTTATATTATTTTGAAATTAAAAAAAAATAAAAAATTAAGAAAAAAAATTTAAAAAAAATTCAAAAAAAAATTTGGAATTTTTTTTTTTATAAAAAATATCCCTTTATTTATTTTTAATTTCAAATTTATAATTATAAATATTATATATTTACACACTCTCATATAATATTTATGGGTTCTATGTTTTTTTTTTTCTAAGTTTTATTTCAAGGAAAAACTATTACAAGAGTAAATTAATAAAAATTATTAGAGTAATGGTGGAAAAAACGCAGGGAGTAAAAAATAAAATTTTGTAATAAAGTGCACTATGCACAAATAAGGCGTGAGGTGACCAACTTAGCAAAAGGGAAATTTCTTAATTTATACTATTAATTTGAACTCCTACTTTATATGTTCAAACTTTATGGGAGTCATATACTACAATTTATGTAATAAAGTGCACTATGCACAAATAAGGCGTGAGGTGACCAACTTAGCAAAAGGGAAATTTCTTAATTTATACTATTAATTTGAACTCCTACTTTATATGTTCAAACCTTATGGGGGTCATATACTACATTTAACATCGAATTGCCGTGATAGTATAGTGGTAGTACATAGCATTGTGGCTGCTTTGACCCTGGTTCGATTCCAGGTCGCGGCATCTTTTTTCTTTATATAGATTTTATCTTTCAGGTGATATTATTTCTGTCAGGAAAAAAAAATGGTAGAACCTGCAGACTACAGTACCGCTCTGGGTACTCAGGTTTTCAAAATCACACAAATTGGTTTTACATTACCCTCAACTTGTATTAGTTAACCACACTGTATACACATACCAAAAAACATCTTTAAGAAACCATCACTTTACAAAAAAAAAAAAAAATTACTATTTTTTTTTATAATTTTGAACTCTTGGAGATTTAAAAAATAATATTATTTTTAGTACAATTATATATTACAATAATAATGAAAAATCAAAATAAATATAGAAAAAAGTAAAAATTAATGAAATTTCATTTACCCCATTTTTTTTTTTACAATTTTTTTTAAAATATTTTTTTTTTATTAAATTTAAAATAATATAAATATTTTTTATTTATAATATTTTTTTATTATAATTCTATATATTAATAATAGTTATAAATAAATATTTTTAATAATATATATATAATTTGTAAAATGTTTAAAAAGAGTATTGGACCATTTCAAAGTAAGTATATTTTATAATACACAATATAAAATTATTAGATTTATAACCCAATTTATAAATATATAAATTAATATTAAATTTTCATATACAGTATCAAATGAATATCCTTTTAATAAAAAAAATGAATGTTTCGAAAATAAAGAAATAATTGAACATTCAATTAAAAGAATAAAATGGAGTAATGAACATTTACTATTAATAAAAAAATTAATAGATGATTGCAGAGGAGAACAGGTTATTTATAATCAAATTTTAGAAACATTTCCAAATTTAAATCAAGAGTTATCTTATGATGCTTTTAAAAAGGAAATCAAATTGTTAAAAAGAGAAATTGGTATTGATCAAGTCAAAGAATTCATAGAAAGTAATAATCAAAATAATTTAAAAAAAATATTAGAAAAGGAGAAAAAAGAATTGGAAAAGAGCATATCATCAGAATTTATAGATACAATTAATAATTTTGAAATAGAAAATGAAATAATAACTAGTAAAAGTAAAGATATAGATGATATAAAGAAAAATAATAATAATAAAAAAAGAAAATTAGAATCAAAAATAAATATAAAAAAAAATGAAGATTTAGAAAAAATAATTAAAAATTCAGAAACTACAGTATCCACAACAACAACATCCACAACAACATCAACACATAATAATGAAGCAATCAAAATAACTAAAAATTATAATAATAAAAATAAAAAAATCCAATCTGAATTTATACAAGTAAAGAAATTTCAAAATGAATTATTAACAAAAATGTTAAACTTTAATGAAAATCTTTTAAAACAGTTCCATTACATAAATAATAACAGCAATGATGATACAAGTGACACATACAACAATAATAGTAAACAAATAGAAAATGAAGAGTGCGAATCAATTCAAAATTATGAAACAAATACAAATTTACCAATAAAATATTTAATAATAGATAAAAATCAAAAAAAAGGGAAAAATGATATAATCGATGAAAAAATCAGAGTTGCAATACCTAAAGTCAAGTTTGGGAATGAACCAATATTAAATATAATTTCATGGTCATTGTTACATAATCAAAAACTATTATTAAAGATAAATGTTTTAAATTTTGATCATTTGGAAATTGATGATATTTTATCAAATAATAATAGTGATAGTAATATTACAGATAATAATAAACCAATAGCAATAAGATTAGAATCATTTAAAATTAATTTACCACTAAAATACTTGTACGGAAATAATATTATTAAAAATGAAAATAATTCATTCACTTATTTTGAAATACCGATTATAAACATAAATAATTAAAAAGAGAAATATATTTTTGTTTTCAATTCAATTCCTTAAAGACATATTCAAATATAAAATAAACAAATCACAAAAAAATTATTATAATATAAATAATAAATATAATTTTAAAGAAAAAATATTAAAAAAAATAATTTTATTTATTTATTTTTAATGTGATTGGTTTTTTTTTATTTTACTAAAAGATAAATTTTTTTTCATTTTTTCTTAATAAATTAAAAAAAAAACCTTTTTTATAATTTTTCAAATAAAAAATGATTACATATTAATTTTAAAAAATGCAGATTTAAATCACAAAAATTAAAAAAAAAAAAATTAAAAAAAAAATTTTATATTTTTTATGAAAAAAAAAAGGTTTTTTTGATCACCTAATTTTTAAAAAATATATTTTGGAAAGCTGTATCAACACAAATGATTTCAAATGTAAATTGGCCAACTACTATACAGTTCCCATATTAAAAAAATACAGGTTTTTTATAAATAATATCCATTATTATATATAAATGATAGGTTTAAAATGTAATTATAGGAAAAAAAACCACAATGATATTACTTATAATTTTTTCTTTTTTTTTATTTTTATTTTAATTTTTTTTATTTTTGTTTTAAAAAAAATAATTTAAAAGGATATATAAAATATATTTTAAAATCATTACAAACAATTTCAACAATTATATAAAAATTTATTAGTTTTAATTCTTTATAGAATATTCACAAATGTCACAATCACTTAACAGTTTAGTATCTTTATTAGCTAATGCCCAGTGCCACCTTAGAACCAGTACCAATTTGGACGGTAACTACACTCAATCCAATTCAGTTTTAAATTTTCAGAATAGCAAAGATGCTAGATTCGATGGCTCAGAAGCCTGGTGTGCCTCAGTTATTGATACCAATCAATATATTGTAGCTGGTAAATATTTATAATGCAATTTTAATTATTTCATTATATCTTGTTTCTAACTATATATATATCTTTTTCTAAATATAGGTTGTGAAATCCCAAGAACATTTGTTGCCGTTTCAATTCAAGGTCGTGGTGATGCTGGTAAGTTTTATAATATTAATAATTTATTAAAATGTAAATAATAACATTATAAAATCATTTTTTCTCAGACCAATGGGTTACCTCATACAAAATTAGATACAGCTTGGATAATATAACTTGGAGCGAATATAGAAATGGAGCTGCTATTCAAGGTAGTAGTGACCGTAATTCGATTAATACTCATTTCTTTGATAACCCAATCAGAGCTCGTTCAGTTGCCATTCACCCAGTTACCTGGAACAACCACATTTCATTAAGATTTGAACTCTACACCCAACCATCCCTTTACACCTTCACCCAAATTGGCCATGTTGACACTGGTGCAAATGGGGTCTTAAACTCTGGTACTGGTGGTCGTGAAATAGTTGTCCCAGTTACTTTCCCAGTTGCTTTCAGCAAAATCCCAGAAATTGCCATTTCTATAGACTTAATAGATTCAACTGCTGATGAAACTAACCAAACCCGTATTCTAGTTGAAACAAGAAACATCACCACTAAATCATTCGAATGTGTTTTCAAGACTTGGCATAACTCAAAGATTTATGGTCTCAGAGGTGACTGGACTGCTACCATCAACGAATAATCTAATTGAATGCTTTTTTTTTATTTTTTTTTTTTTATTTGTTTTTTTTTTAAAACCCGCCTCGTAAAAAGCTATATTTTAGATTTAAAAAACAAAAAAAAAAAAAAAAAATTAAAATTTTTTTTTTTTTTTTTTCTTTTTTTTTTTATAATAAAATTTTGCACTCAAATATTTTTTTATTGATAAAATCAAATCATAATTATCTCATTATAAATAAAAATTATAAAAGGTAGAATCCAAATTAAATAAAAGTAATATCCTAAAATAAATATATTCATATTATTTATAGTATTCAAAAATTAATTTTTTTTTTTATTTCAGATGCAAACTAATATATATGATGAAAATCAAGAAAATCTTTCCAAATACATCAAAAATAATTTAAGTGACCCATTTTATCTTAAAATTAAAATAAAGCTCAATGAAATTTTAAATAATAATAATAATAATAATATTATTAGTCAAAATATTGAATATATAATAACACTTATTAAACCACCACAACAATTAATAATGATCAATCCTGACATCCGAAATGATTTTTTAAATTCACCCAATATAAACCATGAAATATTTAATCCAATAAAAAAAAATTTAGAAATAATTGAAAAAACAATAAATGATATTAAAAATAATAATGATAATGGGTATAACGATTCAATAATTAAGGAAATTGAACAATACCATAAATCACATGAATCATTTATAGAAGATATAATAAAAATTGCCAATGAAACAAAAAAATTAACTGGAAAACCTGCATCACATAGAATTTTTAAATCTCTACCTTTATTTATCAGTGAGGATTTGGAATATTATCAAGTTAAATCAATAGACCGAGCCTATAAAATTTCATCATATGACCAAAAAGAGTATGAATTTAAAAAGGAAAATAAATCAGGAATAAGCTATGTAAGTTTATTGGACCAAGTTTGTTACAAAATTGATAATGGATCTCATCTATTAAAACCGGCAAAAGAATATGCAATATACCAATTCAATAAATCATTATTCCCAACATTACTTCTCGTCTCTCCAACACAGTTATTTGTACTAGATAATTTAAGAACTTTTATACCAGATCATATTAAGAAACATTTAGGAAAAATAAAAACAACTCAAAACCAACGTTCGATTTCGATACTTTTAGAAAAAGATCCAAATATTTATAACGATATAGAAAATAGTTTGCAAAACGAAACAGTTTTTATTCAAGCATCATTAGAAATTAAAGGAGAAACACTTGAGAATTATTTAAAACGACCATATACAAACTATAATCAAATTAATTTGAAAAGTTACAGTTCACATATTATATCAAGTCTATTATCAATTCAAACAGACTACAAACCAGATAATCTTATATTAGAAGAAAATACAAATAATATTATTGGTATTGATAATGACGAGTCATTGGAATCAAATGAAATCGAAATATTACCAAAAAACAACAAAGATGCCTACACCAGGGTCGGAAATATATTATTTACACTCAAAGAATTAATGATACAGCAAATCGATGAAGAAATCAAAAATCAATTTATTCAACACACACCATCACTCTTTATTTTAAAATGGTTAAAGCTAATTGAAAACAAACAATCAAACTATGATTCTATTATTTCAAAATTGCTAGATCCTTATGAAACTCACAGCCATAATCCACAAGTAAACATTTATAGAAATGAATTAAATTTACCTTTAATGTTTATTAAAGGCTGGATAACTTTAATGTTTCAAAGATTTAAAACAATTAGACAACATTTAATATCAAATCCAAACTCAACACACCAGGAACTATTTAGTTTAATACATCCACTTTTAAGTATTTACTACACACTATTATCAAATATATACTCAAATCCATTAGATATTATTGGTTCAATAAAAAACGAAAAAAATAAAAACTCAAAAATGCCCTTTAGTAAATTATTAGAATTAAATAAACACTCATCACCTATATCTCATGAAAATATCCAAGAATCAATTCAAAAAAAAGCAACTATAAATCAAAACAGAATATCAATTACAGATGCAATTAAAGAACTAGTATCTGAAGCCGATTATAATGACTTAATAGAATGTAAATCTTCATATGGTGTAAATGAATGTGGTCCATTTTGTAACACTGGTTGTAAAACAAAAAATATTATTGTCGAATGGTTAGAAATCATTTATTCAACATATAATAGTAAAGATGATAAAGTTCCATTCCACAACTCTTGGTATCAAAATAAAGATCATTTATTTAAAAGATTATTAAAATATGGAACATCTATCAATTGTATCGAACTAGTTGTGAAATCATTGGACATCAAAATTAATAACGAAAACTATCTTGCAACTATAGTTGAAAGCGAAATACTAAAGAATCCAAACAGCTGGTACTTGGTCGAATTTTTAATCAATTATTTTAGTTTAGATATTGAAAGAATCGAAAATGGATATACATTATTAGATCTATCATCATCAAATTACAATTTCAATGTATTCATAAATTTAATTAAAATAGGTGCTGGAAAAAACTCAAATGGAATAGCTATTGGTGTATTTTATCAAAAAAAATTCACACATCAACAAAAATTAGAGTTAAAACCTTTCTTAACAAATTTATTTTTAATTAATCCAAAAATCACATGGAATATTTCATTGAACCAACTATTCCCTTTAGAAAATACAATTACAACCAATAATAACAAATCAATAAAATATTTAGAAACAGATGGAACATTAAGAAGAGTAATATCAGAAGAGTATTGGAAGAAACTATTTGATCAAGATGGTACACCAAAGAAAACAAATGAAAATGGTAAAAGAGCAGTCACACTAATTGAAGATGAATATGGTAATGGTATCTATTTAAAATTCAAACCACAGTTCCCAGGAATTGAATATGCAGTACAAATACTATCAGAACAAATATTTGGTGAGAATTTAACAACAAATAGTGAATTAGGATTAATCAATTCAATTCCAGTATTATTATCACAAAAAATATCAGGTGAAGTTTTAGTGGATATATTAAATCAAAGCTCAGATGTAATTAACGAAATTGAATCTTCAAATATCTCAAAGCAAATAATATTATCAATAATTATTAATAATTCAGATGGTAATTTGGGAAACTATATAGTTGTACCAAAATATAACAACTTAAACAATAGAATTATATACAAAATGTTTTCAATTGATAACGATCAATCATTTATGCCACCAAAAGCTATTGGTTTTATAAATTATCTCAAACCTATACAAGCTGATACTGTATTATTTTTATTTGATCAAATGAATCATATTGTGCATCAAAATATTATCAACTGTTTCAAAGATTTAGATATTTACAATATTTTAGAAAAATGGTTAGAAAATTTAATAACTTATCATAACAAAATGTTAAAACTATTTTCATCAAAAAAAAAAGAATTAAAACAAAAAAAAGAAACTATTATTGGAGTATCATTTAACAATGGAATGATTGTACATTTATATTCAAAGCTTAAACGTTTACAACAACTTTTAAAAGATAATACAAAAGAAACAATAACTCACATTGATTTATTAAGCAATTTAGAACCATTTATTGCCAAAAGATACAAACCTTATTTAAATTTAAAAATATCAATAAAAGAAAGATATAACAAATATTTCAACTATATAAATCCAACAATCCAACAATTAACATGTACAACACACTCATCAGCACAAATATTACAATCAAAAGGTATTCCAAATTCAAATGATATTTTTTCTAAGCTATGGGAAGAAGAATATAGTCCAGTTAAAACCTTAGGTGAATTACGCAACCAAAAAAAAAAGGTAAACCATATATCAGATCTCATTTTTAAACTTGATCAAAAAGAATCATATATTATATCAAATTATGACATCGAATGTTTATTAGAAGCAGATTTCAGTACAATTACAGAGCAACAATTTATTACACTTTCCGAATATTTAAAATTAAAAGAGATATCTGTTCTTAGTTTTAGAAATAGTAAATTACAATTTAACCCATCTAAACAATTTAATTTATACTCAATTGTCGTACTTGATTTATCTGGATGTACCAATTTACTTAATTTAGGAAACCAAGGTTACTTTTCAACATTAGAATTTAACCTATTAAACAAACTAAAACTTGACAGGTGCCCACAACTTTCATCTGTGAATATTTCAGCTCCAAATTTAGTTTTTTTAAGTGCTACTGAATGTAAAAAGCTTGACAATTTTAATTTCAAAACACCATCAATTAAATATTTAAATGCAAAAGGTTCTAAATTACAAAACTCTGATATTTTTGACTTAAGTATCGATAAATCAATTAATTTAGAGTACCTTAACATATCAGAAACTGAATTTTCAATAATTAAAATCAAATCAACCAAATTAAAATGTTTAGATATCTCTTTAATGAAGAAATTAACAACTGCATATTTAGAAGTACAATCAATAGAATCTATTAACTTCCAAGAATGTGATTCTTTAAAACTAATATCAACAATGCAAAATAACTTCGATATCAACTTTAATTTAGATATACTTTTAAATAATCAAGAAACTATTGAGAACATTAAAGAAAGAAAGATTTCACTCAATTTAACTGCTTCAAAACTGGTAGATAATATAAAAGAGTTAGAAGGTCGTTCTTGTATGTTTATAAGTGAATTAGATGAATACTTTTTAATACCAATAGACTCATATTCCGACTATCATTATTTTTTTGGTAAAGATTTGATGACAAAACTCATATTAAAAAAAGGAGATCTGCTTCAATTTAGTAATTATAACAATTTTCTGATAACTAAAAAAGAAGATCACTTTCAAATTGGTGGCCTCCGAAATATGGATCTGCGACTTATTTCATACAACAAACCCTTTTCAATAAGTTTATTTTATACAAATAAATTTATTGATAGATATGAAAATTATAAAGTTCTAAGTTTCGGCCAAGGATTTAATGGTATTTTAAAACTTACCACAAAAATTATAATCTTAATTATTGGTAATATAGGAAAACCAATGAAAGAAGGATCAATACCAAATTATTTACCTTTTTTAAGATTAAATAATTACAATCATTCATTAAAACCATCGATTATTCCTCAAAGCACCAACATTGTTCAAATGTATACCAAAATCCATGATTCAAATTCACCAAAAGATCAAACAACAATTAACTACAACAACTTTAGAAATACTTTATACATTAAACATCTTCTTATTTTCAAATCAAAATATTGGTATTATTTTAGAGGAGCACCAAAACTAATAGGAAAACATGGAAAAATAGAAACAAATATCCCAGAATTAATAAAATCAACTAAAGCTTTTAAAGAAAGTTTAAACATCCAATCAATAAAAGATGATGTAGAAATTTTAGAATATTGGGATAAAATTAATACAACATATGAAACTATTCCAAGCGATATAGAATATTTATATTTAGGTGAAATTGAAGGATCATTACCAACCATTCCAAATACAGTGACATCAATAGAGCTTTGTAATGAATTTAATCTTAAACTATCACCTGGAGTCATTCCTGATTCGGTAACCTCTATCTATATTGGCGATATTAAAGAACCACTAGTTCGTAAATCAATACCAAATAATATTACCCATTTTAGTGTATTCCGAGGATACAAACATTCATTAAAGAACATTATACCAGATTCAGTATCATATCTATATCTCGAAGAATTCAAACATCTATCTCAAATAGTATATTCATTACCATCAAACTTAACAACCATAAATTGCAGCTGTGAATTGTCAAATAACCCTAAATATAAAGACATTTTACAGAGATATATAATTATCTCACAGAATGAAGATATCTAAAAAAATAAATTATGTAATTAATTTTTTACTTGTAAAAATAATAAAAAAATTTTATAATTGAAACATTGAACAAAAATAGATAATTCATTACTATTAAATTTTAAAAACTATGGAGTATATAGCCAATCATTTTCAAATGACTCTAATTTTTTAAAACAGTTTGTATCTTTATTTAAATATATTAAGATATCACAAAATGAAGAATAAGTTAACTTTTATGAATATTACTTTTTTTGTTTTTTTTGTAAATTATATACAATAACAATAAAGAGTTAATAAAATTAAAAAAAAAAAAAACCAATGCCAATACCAATCAATAATAATAAAAATAATATGGATGAACTAGTTTTTAAAAAATCTGAATATTAATCAACAGTTCATTAACACAACATTCGAGAAAAAACTGAAGTTTAATACCATTTAACCACCACTAACTTTTTTAAATGGTAATAATCATTTTCTTTTTTATTTTAATAATAAAAATATAAATAAAAAAAAAAATTTTATTTTTATTTTATTTTATAATTCAATGTTTAAAACAATAACTTGAATTTTAAGCAATCTGATTATTTTTATTTTGTTATTTCTGATAAATCATATTTGTAGTAATTATTTATTTGTTTGTAAAAATATTATTAACCATCGTTAATGATTTGTTTAGATTAACTGTAATAGCTGAATTTTGTTCATTATACAACTGGACCTGCTCCTTCTGATCGCACATGAGTTTTTGAACGAAATGATTGAAGTATCTTCCAAGATCACAGGCCAATCTCACTACTTGTGGATTTTCTTTTGCTCTGAAACCCCGACTTCCCGTTTCCTGAATCCTTATTATTGCCATTATTATTGATACTGTAACCATTATTCTTTCGAATTCTTTGTCTTTTCTTGAAATTGTTGGATTTTGAACCATAGGTTCCATCTTGAATTTCTTTGTTTATTTTTGAATTTTCGACCAATTATCGAAGTTTTTTTTCAAATTCTTCACTAATTAAACCACCAAATGAATTCTTTTTTAATGATTTATTTTTGCTAAACTATTCTGGAAGAGAAATTCCTTGAGGATATTAATATCCTTTTCTGAGATGATTTAATCTTCAGGAATAATAAAATTATTTTCATCTAATGTGGGAAAACACTCTTTCCAAACATATTTAATTACCTCTTTCTTTTCTTCTTCGTTATCTCTTAATTGAGGTTCTTGAAAACTTCTCTTGTTTGTTTAGTTGAGACCAATGATTATTTTTTTTGTTGTTTTTGATCGTATTGGTCTTTTTATTTTTGATTCCATTTTTTATTTCATAACAAATTAATAATAAAAATCAATTTGATATGTTATTTTTAAAAAAAAAAAAAAAAAAAAAAAAAAAAAATTAAAAAAAAAGTAAAATAAAATTAAAAAAAAAAAATTTTCTTTAAATTAATTCATTATGAATTCCTCCAAAATTCAAAAAAAAAAAAACTTCACTATATCATAATATTTTGATAATATTTCAAAATAAAAAGTTCCTTAATGTTTAGAATTATATCTTAAAGAATTGCTTTTCATTATCAATTGGTATACTAATTTGTTTTTCCGAGCCATCTACGACCACTGTGGTTGCACTCATATGATTTTAATGGTACATGAATTCTATTTTATTGCTATTATCAAGTCTATTATTAAAATAACTTTTAAAATATCTTTTGCCAAAGGTGAAACAATGTCTTAAAATTCTTGGAGTATCTGCAGTTTTTTTTCAATAATTTTTTTTATAATTATTCATTGTAACCTATTTAATTATTTCTAATCACTAAACTACAACTGTACATACCATTGATTCATATTATCTATATGAAAATTCCTTATTAATTATTAACAGTTTTATTAAATTATTAAGAAAAATAAAATATTTTTAAATTATCAAAAACAATAGGATCTATTTTGTGATATAAATTAATATGCAAAA